AAACCATGCATTGCATAATCATACAGAGATGATGATTCTTACTCCCTCCATTGTAATAGTATTTCCCTTTTTCTGTTTTTTGGGTTTTTTTTTCCTCTGTGTAGTTTTGGTGCCTGTCCTGTAGCTCGCTCTGTAGACCAGGCTGGCCTCAAACTTACAGAGATCTGCCTGGCTCTGCCTCCCAAGTGCTGGGATTAAAGACATGCACCACCACCACTTGGCTATTTTCCATTTTTAATGTGGGAAAAGAACTCTCTTTTAACTAATTTCCCACTTTAAGAATTACCAATTGTCTCACCAAATCTGCTGATAATGACGGTGAAGATGATGGTGAAGTGTAAGCCTGACTGCTGCTGTGTAGAACAGTAGAAGCCAGAGTGGGAGTCAAGGCAGCTTCGCTAGTGTGGCAGCAGCCCAAGGAGGGGGTCCAGGGACAGCCCACAACCCACCGGGAGAGAGGAAGCCAAAGAGCCAGTCATCTGCAGGGGGACGGGAAGGGGGCAATTCAAAGGAGCCCTAGTGCCTGTAGAGTTTGCTGTAGAGAGGCTGCAACAGAAAAATCCCAAATTCACTCAGAGGGCTTGAGGAAAAAAGAAAGGAAAACCTAGCCGGTGAGGCAGTGACTCCAGCAGGAGCCCCTGCATGGAGCTCCAGTGTGTGCCAGTGGCTGCAAAGCCACAGCAAGTGCCTTTTTTGAGAATAAGTGCCCCAAACGTTGGACACTAGATGGAGCACAATTCTAATTAATCTTATTAAATAAAAACCCGGAGTCAGATATTAAGGTGAAAGCTGAAACAAGAGAGAAACCGAGCAGCCAGCCACCAGAGACTTCTTAACCTCTACAAAATCTCAGACCAAATAGGACATGTTGTCTCTATGAATACTCAGACTGAATGGTTCAGAGATCCTGTCTCCACCTCCCTAGTGCTGGGATCAAAGGTGTGCAGCACCACCACCAGCTCTGTTTCTCTCTCTCTCTCTTTTTTTTTCCTTAAAGATTTATTTATGGGGCTGGAGAGATGGCACAGAGGTTAAGAGCACTGACTGATCTTCCAGAGGTCCTGAGTTCAATTCCCAGCAACCACATGTGAACCCACATGGTTCACAGCCATCTATAATGAGATCTGGTGCCCTCTTCTGGCTTGCAAGGTTACATCAAGGCAGAATGTTGTATACATAATAAATAAATCTTAAAATAAAAAAAAAAAAAGATTTATTTATTATGTACACTGTGTTCTGCCTGCAGGCCAGAAGAGGGCACTGGATCTCATTATAGATGGTTGTGAGCCACCATGTAGTTGCTGGGAATTAGTGCACTTAACCTCTGAGCCATCTCTCCAGCCCTGCTGTTTCTCTTTTAGACTGGATCAATCTCATGTAGCCCAGGGTGGCCTTGAACTCGTGATCTTCCTGTTTCCTCTTCCCAAGTGCTAGGATCAAAGGTGTGAGCCACCCCTGCCTGGCCTCTGTGGCTAACTAGTGGCTACCTCTGCCCTCTGATCTCCAGGCAAGCTTTATTTGTCAGAACACACACAAAAATATCATACAACAGTTTAGAATTGAACCTCATCTCCCAAACATCTCATCATGCATGTGCAAATTTTCTAAAATTCAGATAAAAAGTTCAATGTATGTTCTTACTTCAGGTAGATCTAAGTGCTATGAGAAAAACAGACAAACCAGAGGGCAGAGAGGAGACATCTGGGCTTCAGCCAGGCATGAAGCTGATGTGTCAGCAACAGCCCAGACGCACCAAGGTCAAACAACGAAATACATGGGGACTGGATACCATAGGTGTCCCAACAATGTGGCCTGCCCAACGCTAAAACTCTTATCCAAAAATCAAAGGGTGGAGACATGATCAGACCTGCTTTTTTGTTTTTAAGACAGGGCTTTGGGGACCAGAGAGATGGCTCAGTAGTTGAGAGCTGGCACTGCTCTTACAGAGGACCCCAGTTCAGTTCCCAGCCCACACATGGGGCAGGTTTCAGCTGCCTACAACTCCAGTTCCTGGGGGATCTGATGCTTCTGGCCTCTGTGGGCACCTGCATTCACATGAGCATACACACATACACAATAATAATAATAATAATAATAATAATGATAATAATAATAATAATAATAATAATAATAATAATTTTAAAAGTGGATTATGTAACAATAATTAAAGAGGTCATGAACTTGATATGGAGGAGGGACAGGAGAGGAGTTGGAGGGAGAGAAAGGAACATGGTGATGTAGATGTAGCACTCATGTATGCTAAAACTTTGGAGGCATAGACAGAGTCATGCCTTTATGATCTATATGAGTTCAAGGCCCAACATCTATGTAGCAAGTTCCAGGTGAGCCAAGGCTACAAAGAAAGACCTTGTCTCAAAAAACAATGATGAAGGAGCTGTTAGGATCCTGCCCTCGCTCCTGTACATGTGCAGCTCGGGGTCTTCCGTCTTACATCATCTGGGGTGCTGGCGATTACGTACCTGCCTTAAAAGCCAGATGCAGACCCCCACCCTCTCTCTCTGTTCCCTCTCTGCTCTCTCTCCCTGCCCTGCTCTGCTCCCTCCTCCCAGGCCTGGCTCTCCTCTCTTTCTGTACCCCTGCTTTGCCTCCTAATAAAGCTCTGGAAACTAGGACTGGGTTCTGTCGTGACCATGACCTTTGCACGTGGTAACCAGCACCGCAACCAGCACCACTTATCATCCTTTCATTGGTGCTGTGACTCGAATGGGAAATTCTGCTCACTCAGCGTCCAGGGCTGAGTGTTGTCAGAAACTGATACCAAGGACCTGCGACTGCCCAATCCGCTTCCTCGTTTGCCCAGTCACTGGATCCACACACCACACCCGCCAACCAGATTGGTGAGTTTTTCCCCTTTCTGGCCCCCGCCATTTCCCATGACTGCAGCCTGAGCTATATTCTTTACACCGGATACCCAAGGGGTCCTTGGCTGCATACTATGACACATTCAATCTTGACGAAGTATTGGATGCTGTCTGGGCCCCCGGGAGTACTCCAGTACGTATGTTCAGCCCTTACCCTTATCGTGACAATGGTTTGGGTAATTTGTGCTGTTAATGTGGTTCACAGACTGCCTATTCTCAAGGACGCTTGAAATAGGAGCCTGGGATCACGTTTGTTATTTTAATTTTTTATTTTTCTCTCTTGGCACTGCAGCCATGGGACAGGGGCTTCCTTCTCATGGTTCCATTCCTCCTCTAGCAAATGCCTTAAATATCTCCAGATACCAGTAAATTTGGCTGTTTCAACCCCAATATTTCATGGGAATTATCTAACTTCAGCCAGTGAATAGGCAAATGAAAAGTTACCTTATCCCCAAGCTTACTATTGAAACTCTGAACCCTTCTCCTTCTCCATTTCTGATTCTTTCCCTGCCATGTACGACCACTTCTGTCTGACTTCTGCTTTCTGTTCTCCAGTATTGAGCAGGCTTTAACTCACCTTAACTCCTCCCACTCATTCTCAAGCTGCCCTAAGAAGCACAGACGGGTCTGAAAGCAGGCTAGGATCCATGCAAATAAGTTTACCGTAATCAGGATGGCTCTTTAGCCAGAGACCAGTTTACATCCTACCTCCTGGCGGGTCTTCCAAAAGCTGTCCTCAAGCTAGCAGACATCAAAAAAATTCAAGACACAGAGTAAAATCCGTCTCTTGTCCCCCAGACCTCCCCAACATAACTTAAAACTTAAGCATCTGAGCCGGGCGGTGGTGGCACACGCCTTTAATCCCAGCACTCGGGAGGCAGAGCCAGGTGGATCTCTGTGAGTTCGAGGCCAGCCTGGTCTCCATATGCGAGTTCCAGGAAAGGCGCAAAGCTACGTACAGAGAAACCCTGCCTCGGAAAAAAAAAAAAAAAAAAAAAGAAAAAAAAAGAAAAAAAAAAAACTTAAGCATCTGGAGAGCAAGGCTCCTGACCCCATAGGCAGAAGTTTCAGCTGTGGCATTTAAGGTATACAAGGGGAGAGAGGAAAAAAAAGCCCAAGAACACAATTGCCAAGTGCTGGCACATGCTGTCTCCGGAAAGCCATTGGGTCCCTGTTTAAAGTGTGGGGTGGGGGTGGGGGGGAAGGGAGGCCACGCAGGCTAGTAAGTGCCCTGCCAGGCCATCAACTGAGCCTTGTTCAAAGTGCCACCTAGAAAGACAGCCGGTCAGCTGACTGCCCCCAGGCACCAAGGGGCATGGGAGCATCAAGCTAAGACCTCCAGCAGACCTAGGCTTGGCCACAGGCTCGCTTCCAGGGAACCAAGAATGCAGCATGGTTTCTTTCCCTCTGGATACCAAAGCCACTAACGCAGTCCTGGGAGTTTTGGACTCACCTCTCCTCATTTCCCTATTGTCAGGGTAGAGAGACAGCCTTACCCACCTCACCAGACTTAATTGCACTTTCAGGGTTACTTAATGGGAAAAGATTTTCCAGCTAAGGTAGGAGCTTTCATTTCATTGCTCCCTCCATGTGCCTCACTCCAGACCTGTCAGCAGTGCTTCTCCTCCTCATGCACACAGACAGGGCCCTGATCTCTGCCCTGTCCCTGATTCCACAGAAATAAGTTCTCATGCACCACAAGCTTTTCTCTTCCCAGTTCCTTCCTCTAATTAACTGCTCAGCTAATGGCTGCTTTGGATTACCACAGAACTGGAGTCCAGAGATCATCAAATAAGAAACTGCAACAGCTAAAAGGTATTTACACCCCCAGACCTAAAAGTGTCTGGGCTCTGCAAAAACAGACTCTAATGTAACAGTCTATCACTGTTAAATGCTCTCAACAATTGATCACCTGTGTCTCCTGGATGCCAAACTAGTAAAGAAAATAGGTGCCTTAAAATAATCTGTCTCTGCCGGGCGGTGGTGGCGCACGCCTTTAATCCCAGCACTCGGGAGGCAGAGCCAGGCGGATCGCTGTGAGTTCGAGGCCAGCCTGGGCTACCAAGTGAGTTCCAGGAAAGGCGCAAAGCTACACAGAGAAACCCTGTCTCGAAAAACCAAAAAAAAAAAAAAAAAAAAAAAAATAATCTGTCTCTGATAAAGCTTATCTCAGGTTATGAGAATTAAAAACAAGTTCCAATCTCTCTGTCTCTCTCATTAATACGAACCAATCTAAGCAGAGTACTAAACACTACCATGGTCACTAATCATCTCATGGCTGCTTCTTAACATGTTCAAAATTTTTCCCAAGCTCCAGAAACCAGCTTAAACCCATCTGGACAGGTCAGATCTACTTCAGGCTTTTTCTGTCTCACCAGCATCCTGTCAGACACAAAAGCAGCCAGAGTGCCAAGCCAAGAGGGATGGACGGCTCCAGGGCAGCAGAACAGCCCATCATCCCAGGATGCCTGTCCACCTCAGAAGGTCCCCCTTCCCTAGCCCATCCCCCCAAGAACCAACCGACGCCTACCAAGTCAGTTGTAAGCAGTCTTTCCGGGAGAAACGATGCCCCTATTCCTATTCACTTGCTTTTTTATAATAAGCAAAAAGTCTGGAATGTTAGAATTCTGCCCTCACTCCTGCACATGGGTAGCTCAGGGTCTTGCATCTTACATCATCAGTGGGCTGTGACGATTATGTACCTGCCTTAAAAAGCCAGATGCAGACCCCTACCCTCTCTGTTCCCTCTCTGCTCGCTGTTCCCTGCTCTGCTCCCTCCTCCCAGGCCTGGCTCTCCTCTCTTTCTCCCCCCTCGTCCCCTAATAAAGCTCTGAAAACTAGCACTGGGTTCTGTCATGACCGTGACCTTTCCATGCGGTAACAAGACCACCACCAGCACTGTTCATCCTATAAGGAGCAGCAAAAATTAACCAGTAGGGGCTGGACAAATGGCTCAGTGGTTAAGTGCACTTATTATTCACTCAGAGGTGCCAGGGTTGGTCCATAATACCAACATCAGTTCACTCAACCACCTGCCACTCTGGTTCCAGGGAATTTGATGCCCTCTTCTGGCCTCCATGGGCACTGCATGCATGTGGCACACGCACATACATATAAATTAAAAGTAAGTAATTATTTATGACAGCCTTCACTATGTAGCTTAGGCTGGCTCTGAACTTGATTGTCCTATCTTAGCATCCTGAACACTGAAATTAAAGCTATGTGTCACCACACCCTGCCCTGTGGTGTTTGTGGCTATCAGCTAGGCTTCAGAAGCAAAGGATCAGACTGAGTACCTTCAACAACAGAAATCACTGTCTCATGACTCTGGAGGACAGAAGTGTTAGAGGATTTCCTGCAGTGTTCTGCAGCTGGTTTGATTCTGGAGTGTTAGCACTTAACTTTAATCTGCTTTTTGTGATTTGCTACCTTTTGTCTCCCATACCTTCTGTTTGAAGTGTGTAAATCTTATCTGAGAGTTTCCTAAAGGTTCAAAGCCTATGCAAACTTGGTTGTGGGAGGAATAGGAAAGCCAGCTGTCTCTGAACTGAAAAATTGCATTGGCATTGTCTCTTCGGGGAGCTTAGATAAGAGGTTTTGGTATCTGGAATTGACTTGCTAGAGCTGTGAATTGCATAAAAATAAAAAGGCCCTTTGCAAATCGATAGTGGGTAGCTGCCATGGGCTACAGGCTGATCCCCCTGCAGTTGGGAAGCCTAAAAAATCATCCTTACAACAAGACAAGGATGTCCACTCTCCCCATATTTATTCAATATAGTACTAGAAGTTCTAGTTAGAGCAACAAGACAACAAAAGGAGATCAAAGGGATTCAAATTGGAAAGGAAGAAGTCAAACTTTCACTATTTGCAGATGATATGGTAGTATACATAAGTGACCCCAAAAACCCTACCAGGGAACTCCTACAGCTGATAAACTCCTTCAGTAAAGTGGCAGGATACAAGATCAACTCAAAAAAAATCAATAGCCCTCCTATACACAAATGATAAAAGGGCTGAGAAAGAAGTCAGAGATACATCACCCTGTACAATAGCCACAAATAATATAAAATACCTTGGGACAACACTAACTAAAAAAGTGAAGGACCTTTTTGATAAAAACTTTAAATCTGTAAAGAAAGAAATTGAAGACGATATCAGAAAATGGAAGGATCTCCCATGCTCATGGATAGGTAGGATTAACATAGTAAAAATGGCAATCTTACCAAAAGCAATCTACAGATTCAATGCAATCCCCATCAAAATCCCAACACAATTCTTCACAGACTTGGAAAGAAAAATACTCAACTTCATATGGAAAAACAAAAGACTCAGGATAGCTAAAAGAATCCTATACGATAAAGCAACCCTTGGAGGCATCACCATCCCTGACCTCAAACTCTACTATAGAGCTATAGTAATAAAAACAGCTTGGTACTGGTATAAAAACCAACATACAGACCAATGGAATCGAATTGAAGACCCTGACATTAATCCATGCACATATGAACACCTGGTTTTCGACAAAGAAGCCAAAACTATACAATGGAAAAAAGAAAGTATCTTCAACAAATAGTGCTGGCATAACTGGATGTCAATATGTAAAAGATTACAAATAGATCCATATCTGTCACCATGCACAAAACTCAAGTCCAAGTGGATCAAGGACCTCAACATAAATCCAATTACACTAAACTTAATAGAAAAGAAAGTAGGTTTTTTTTTTTTTTTTTTTTTTTTTGGTTTTTCGAGACAGGGTTTCTCTGTGTAGCTTTGCGCCTTTCCTGGAACTCACTTTGTAGACCAGGCTGGCCTCGAACTCACAGAGATCCGCCTGGCTCTGCCTCCCGAGTGCTGGGATTAAAGGTGTGCGCCACCACTGCCCGGCTAGAAAAGAAAGTAGGAAGTACTCTTGAACGCATTGGCACCGGAGACCATTTCCTAAATATAACACCAACAGCACAGACCCTGAGCACAATTAATAAATGGGACCTCTTGAAATTAAGAAGCTTTTGCAGGGTGGAAGACACGGTCAATAAGACAGTCAACAGAATGGGAAAAGACCTTCACCAACCCCACATCTGACAGAGGATTGATCTCCACAGTATATAAAGAACTCAAGAAACTAGACATCAAAATACTAAACAATCCAATTAAAAAATGGGCTAAAGAGCTAAACAGAGAATTCACAAAACAAGAATCACAAATGGCTGAAAGACATTTAAAGAAATGCTCAACATCCTTAATCATCAGAGAAATGCAAATCAAAAAGACTCTGAGATACCACCTTACACCTGTCAGAATGGCTACGATCAAAAACACCAATGACAGTCAGTGTTGGAGAGGATGTGGAGCAAAGGGAACACTCCTCCACTGTTGGTGGGAATGCAAGCTTGTACAACCACTGTGGAAATCAATATGGCGGTTGCTCAGAAAATTAGGAATCGATCTACCTCAAGACCCAGCCATACCACTCTTGGGCATATACCCAAGGAATGCTGATTCATACCATAAAGATACATGCTCAACTATGTTCATAGCAGCACTATTTGTAATAGCCAGAACCTGGAAACAACCTAGATGCCCGTCAACTAAAGAATGGATGAAGAAAATGTGGTACATATACACAATGAAGTACTACTCAGCAAAGAAAAATAATGAAAGCATGAAATTTGCAGGCAAATGGATGGAACTAGAAAAAATCATCCTGAGTGAGGTAACTCAAACCCAGAAAGACAAACATGGTATGTACTTACTCATAAGTGGATTCTAGATATAAAATAAAGAACAATCAGACTACAAAAAAAAATCATCCTTACAGTGCCTGGTGTCTTCTTTCCACAGACCTGAGTAAACCCCTACCTGATACAACAGGAGGCTCAGAATAAAAGTGACTAAAGCCCTTCCCACATTCCTCACACTTAACAGAATTGGGACACACTATATTGTGCCGACTGGGACAACTGGTGACATTTAAATGGGCTGTTTAGGTTGTATAGTGTTGTGCAGCGACATCGGACTTGATTGAATATTACACTACCAGCTGCTTAAGGAAAACACATTTAGTTTCTGATGTAAGAGATGAGACATTTGAAAAGGTGTATGTGCAGGTGTCAGCATTTGAGTGGGCACAAATTCACATATTTAGAGAGAACAGTGACTCGATAATTTAACAACTGGTGAGTCTAGGTTAAGGGTATAAAACTATATAATTTTTATAGTTTTTCTAAAAGTTAATGTACATATTTGATTAAAATCTCACTAGATAACTAAGCCTATACATCTGTATCTTTAAAAATTATTTATCTATAGATCAAGCATGCACATGTGCGTGCATGCGTGTCTGTGTGTGCACGTGTGCCTAAGTCCAGAAGCATTGGAACCTCTAGAGCTGGAGTTACAATTGGTTGTGAGCCACCAGATGTGGGTACACGTAACAAAACTCTGGTTCTCTGAAAGAGGAGCACATACTCTAAGTGCTGGGCTGTCTCTCCAGCCCCACATCTGTATTGTGTGTGTGTGTGTGTGTGTGTGTGTGTGTGTGTGTGTGTGTGTGTGGTATATAATGTGTTTTGCATACATGAGCAGGTATGTATGCCCATGTGCATGTGTTTGGAGGCCGGAGGATGATTTAGGTATCTTGCTCTGTCATACTCCCTGTTGCCTAGAGACATGGTCTCTCCTAGGCTGTCAGCAAGTCCCAACAATCTTCCTTCCTCCACTTCCCACAGCACTGGGATCACAGACCTCCACAGGGCCATACCCAGCTTTTTACATGGATACTGGGGATTCAACTCAGATTCCCATGTTTGTCCAGCAAGCTCTGTTACCCACTCAGCCATCTTCTCCAGCCCCATTTATTTCTCTAAAAACATACAGCTAACTTTCACATTTTATGGTTTTCCAGGTTAATATATTCTGAGCAACTTTCAGCGGTTGTAGCTAATTCTACCTCTTCTCACTTGATGCTTGCAGAGGACCACTGGACTGCAAAGTAGAAAGTTCCTTGGCCAGGCAACCAATTATAAAACGATGATGCAATGTGAACAACTTCTTCAATACAGTTATAGCTGACACCAATCTACCTTTGATGACCAGAGATGCATTGTGGGTACAGCCTCTTTCATTGCAGCCCTCCATACTGCATGAAAAAAGCCACAGGATAAGCCCTTGGCTACAGGAAATTTTTAGTCAGCAATTTTATTTCCCACACCTTTACGCTTAAGTAAAAATAATGCCCACTGTTAAGTATAGAGAGCTAAGTCAGCATTTGGCAAGTAACGGGTCACCCGGTACCTTTCGGCACACAGTCCACTGAAAGATGATTGCTGACATTCATAGTCTTGCCAAGAGGGCCACTGCCTGTATTTCTTCCTTACAATGAGTTCTAGGTGTTACTCTGGCATGTTATGGTTTTAAAGGTGTTGCTGCAGGATGTCTTCCTGTACGCTGTGAATGTGTGTTGCTATGACTGGTTAATAAAGAAGCTGCTCTGGCCTATGGCGTGCCAGGTTATAGCCAGGCAGGAAATCCGAGAGAGAGAGAGAGAGAGAGAGAGAGAGAGAGAGAGAGAGAGAGAGAGAGAGAGAGAGAGAGGAAGAAAAAAGGCAGAGGCGGAAGAGATGTCTAGCCGCTGCCCAAGGAGAAGCAAGATGCCAGCAGGCTGGTAACGCCATGGTCATGTGGCAAAACAGATGAATAGAAATGGGTTAAGATGAAAAAGCTAGCCAGCAAGAAGCCTGCTATAGGCCAGTTTGTAAATAATATTAAGTCTCTAAATGATTATTTTATAAGCGGCTGAGGGACCATGGGGCTGGGTAGGACTGGAGAAACCTTCCAGCTACAAGGTGTGTTAGATCTTGAATCAGGAGAAGCCTGCTCCCACATGCAATGGTTTTATAGGGTTTAGCACTGGGATAGACTCATGGAAAACTTGAAGATGGACATTTCATGTATCATGCTTTGGAGCCAAGGCTGGCCACAAACCTATCATCTTCCAGTCTTGGCCTCCTGAACGCTGGGTTCACGAGTATGTGCCACCACACCCACTCTGCTACTTTCTTTGGGTATGGATTTTCTTATGGTATCGAAGGCGGGAAGCGTAATCAAAGCCTTTTCCACATATATCACATTTGTACGGTTTTTCTCCAGTATGAACACTCCGGTGAACTTGAAGACGTGAGCTCTGACTGAAGCCCTTCCCACACTCCTCACACTTAAAGAGTTTCTCCTTGGTATGAATAGTCAGATGAACTCGAAGCTTGGAAGGGAAACCGAAGGCCTTTCCACACTCCTCACATTTGTGAGGTCTGTCTCCCGTGTGGACCCTCTGATGGTGGTAGAGGTCCAAGCTCCTGCCAAAGCATTTCCCACACTCCTGACATCTGTAAGGCTTCTCTCCACTGTGGCATCTCTGATGGAGAATAAACTGGGAGCTGTATATAAAGCCCTTCCCACACACATCACACTTGTATGGCTTCTTCCCAGTGTGGACTCTATGATGGTAATGGAGGCCAGAGGAACGACTGAATCCTTTCCCACAGATATCACATTTGTATGGTTTTTCTCCAGTGTGAACTCTCTGGTGAGCTTGAAGACGTGAGCGCTGACTGAAGCCCTTCCCACACTCCTCACACTTAAAGAGTTTCTCCTTCATGTGAATACGCAGATGGACTCGAAGGTTGGAGGGGAGACTGAAGGCCTTTCCACACTCCTCACATTTGTGGGGTTTCTCGCCCGTGTGGACCCTCTGATGGTGGCGAAGGTCCATGCTCCTGCCAAAGCATTTCCCACACTCCTTGCATCTGTAAGGCTTCTCTCCAGTGTGGCCTCTCTGATGGAGAATAAACTGGGAACTGTACCTAAAACTCTTTCCACACACATCACACTTGTATGGCTTCTCCCCAGTGTGGACTCTCTGATGGGAATGGAGGCCAAAAGCCTGCTTGAATCCTTTCCCACAGACATCACATTTGTATGGTTTTTCTCCAGTGTGGACCTGCTGACGTACCCGATAGTCAACGGGCTGACTCAAGCTCTTGCCACACTCTCCACACCTGCAGGGTTTCTTCTCTGAGGGGACCCTCTGGTAAGCATGAAGGTCTGACCTCCCGCTGAAGCTTTTCCCACACTCCTGACATTTATACGGTTTCTCTCTAGCGTGTGCTGCTTGGTGTCGTGTAAAATTTGACCTATAACAGAAGCTCTTCCCACACACTTTACAGCTGTATGGTTTCTCTCCAGTATGGACTCTCTGGTGAATGTGAAGCCTCGAAGACTGACTGTAGCCCTTCCCACATGTTTCACATTTGAACTGCTTCTCTTTGGCATGGATATTCTGGGGAGCTTGAAGGTTGGAAGCCTGCCTGCAGCCTTCCCCGCATTCCTTACACGTACAGGGCTTCTCTCCTGTGTGAACTCGTAAATGGAGATGGAGATCTGTATTTCGGGAAAACCCTTTCCCGCATGCCTTACATTTGGACGGTTTCTCTCCAGTGCGGACTCTCGGATGGCATGTTAACGGTGAATTGTGGCTGAAACCTTTGCCGCACACATCACACTGGTGTGGCTCTTCACCAGTGCGCGCCCTCTGATGGCACTGGAGAGCCGAGCTCTGACTAGAACACTTGCAACACTCCTCACATTGATGAGGTTTCTCTCCCGGGTGAGCGCTGTTGTGAATGACGAGACCCTGGCTGCCGCTGGACCTCTTCCCACAACTGTCACATCTGTGGGACTTTCCGTCGGGGTGACTGGTCTGGGGAGAACGCGAGGGGCTCTTGTTGAAGGGATCACTAGATGGGGGGTGTTTCTCTAGCTCCTCTCCTGGGTGTGAGCACTGACTACCGCAGCGCTCTGCTGGGTAGACAGGCTGGCCAACGGGAAGCCCCGAGCCACACTCACTCTGCAGACATGGTTTCCCTCCTAAGGACAGTCCCTGATCAACACCGTCATTAGTTTGTCACAGTCATCACATCTGTGGGGTTTCTGCTCTTGGTTGGTTTTGAGCGGCTTACAAAGCGAAGACTTCCTCATCAAATCTGCATACACACACAGGTCACGTTTCACACAGACCGGCTTATCCCCACTCTGGTTCTGTGCATCCTGCAGACACCGATTTTGGCAATAATTCTGAGTTCCTGAGATTGAAAAGTCTTCTTGTTCAAGGCACCTGCAGCTATCTCCCTTGTGATTCTTTGTGTTGCTCCCATTGTCAGAAACCTGAATGGAATAGTGTCGCAGTAGTTGAGAACGCTTCCTCTGAAGATACCCGGTCGATTTCTGGGCAGCCTGTTTCCAGATGTGCCAGCAAGACACCTCTTCCTGGGGAAGATGCTTCAGTGCGAGTCTCCCAAGAGTCGCCGACTCATGTGGACTGCTGCCGTCTGTGAGAGAGCAGTTGGGAGAGATGAGGACAGGTTATGGGAGGGCTCCGTACCCAGGGAATGGGAGAGACTGACTCAAGCCAGGGCCAAGGGCATCTTGTCCTTACTATGTAACTTGTCATTTCCTCATGTTTTCACGGCGGTGGAAGCAAGGATGGGATGGAAGGCTCCCGAGCGTACGCTGTGCCCCATTTACAGACACATGTCTGACGTGTGACATGAGCGCTTCAAGGGCTGGAGAGATGGTCCGGTGGCTAAGAGCACCCGCTCGTCTCCAGAGGAACCGAGTTTGCATGCCAGCACCCACGCTAAGGGACTTACAACTCTCTGTAACTCCAGCTTCGGGGACGCTAGCTCCACGGGCACCCACATACGCATGGCATACAAACACAAACACTTTTTAAAGTTTAAAAATGAAAAAGAAAACACGAGCGCTATGGGCACAAAGACTACCCTTGCATCCACACTCTACCGCACAAGGACATGAATTAAAAGCATATTCACCCTTTTTCCTCAGTACTTATGCAAATGGGATTCTATCCAAATTTCAGTCAGAAAAGCTTCAAACTTGGTTAGGCCAGAGGGCAGGAGTAACAATGTGGATGTACTGCGGACCAGACCTGAGAGACCAGCAGCATGGGTTCTCACCAGGACACCTACTTCTCTGGACTTCTGCTTCCTGTAGCCAAAGCCTTTCTGCTTTGAGGGGAAAGCACCCTGAGAAAAGACAAGACACATATATTAAAGGCGAACACAAAATTAAAGCAATTTCTGTCTAAATTACACAATCCTCAGGACCTGTGAAGTGAATTTTAGAAATGTTTTATCACAAAGTGGACTGATAAATAAAGGACTGGGCAGACAGCTCAGTGGCCAATAGCACTGGCCACACAACCACAAGGACTGAGACTGGATCCCAGTACCCGTGGGACAAGTCAGGCGTGGTCTCCTGACCGCACACAATAACGCTGGTGCTTTGGGGGTAGATAGCAGGGTCACTGGGGCATGCTGGCTGCCAGCCACAGGTACGGGAGGGGCTGTGCCTCAAAGAAATAAGGCAGAGAGTGGTAACAAAGGCGCCTGATGACCTCCATGTGCACAGAGCACACACAGGCACTCGTATACACAGTGATTTGAAAGGAATTTCAAAGATGAGTTAAAAGAAATCAAGCCCATGGCTATGGATGTATAACAGATTCTGCTTCATCATACTGTAACTGTCTCTCACATCCCTCACCAGAAACCACCAGGCCTTGCTGCAGCAGGTCCTCCAAAACAGATTTTGACATCCTACCGTCATCTATTCTGTGGCAAAGAAAACACTACGCCAGGCATGGTGGCACACATCTTTAATCCCAGCACTCAGGAGGCAGAGGCAGGTGGATCTCTGTGAGTTTGAGGCCAGCCTGGGCTACAGAACGAGTTTCAGGACAGCGAGTGATACACAGAGAAACTGTGACTCTGAGGAGAAAAAGAAAATACTACTATACTGTACCATGTTTGTTTCTTTACCTATTAATAGGTCACAGGCGTAATTAGAAAAACAAAGTACAGGGTTGGGGTATGGCTCAGGGGTAGAGCCCCTGCCTAGAATCCCCCAGTGAGGGGCTGGGGTGTGGTTCAGTGGTAGAGCCCCTGCCTAGAATCCCCCAGTGAGGGGCTGGGGTGTGGCTCAGTGGTAGAGGCCCTGCCTAGAATCCCCCAGTGAGGGGCTGGGGTGTGGCTCAGTGGTAGAGCCCCTGCCTAGAATCCCCCAGTGAGGGGCTGGGGTATGGCTCAGTGGTAAAGCCCCTGCCTAGAATCCCCCAGTAAGGGGCTGGGGGTGTGGCTCAGTGGTAGAGCCCCTGTCTAGAATCCCCCAGTGAGGGGCTGGGGGTGTGGCTCAGTGGTAGAGACCCTGCCTAGAATCCCCCAGTGAGGGGCTGGGGTTGTGGCTCAGTGATAGAGCCTCTCTGCCTAGAATCCTCCAGGGGCTGGGGATGTCAATCAGTGGGACTGCTCTTGCCTAGAATTAACCAGCAAGCTGGGAGTGTGGCTCAGCAGCAGACTCCTGCCTAACACACACAAGGTCCTGGATTCTAGTCTCAGCAAAATCGAAAGCACTGAAGTTAAGCTGTCCATTTGTGGTTCATATGAAACAGGGTTTCTCCCTGGCAGCATATGGATACTCTGGATGGTAGATCATCCTGCTGTGGGACCTAGCTGTCCCTGGCTACTAACTACTGAATGTCAGTAGCACCCATCCCTGAATTGTGAGAAGTATGTCCAGACATGGCCAAATGTTCTCGATAGAAAAATCACCCCTAGCTAAGAATCAATGGTTTAAAGAGATTTTGGCTGAGCAGAAACGTCAGCAAAATCCCTGTTGTCCCAGGGAATCCTTTCAAATGGTCCAGAGCCTTGAGCATCTGAGGACAGGGAGTCTCTGGTGTCCCAGGACACTCCTCCTCACCCACAGCAACCAGGTTCCTGAAGTTCTCCAGCATCATGTCTTGGTACAGCTGCCTCTGTGTGAGGTCCAGCAGCCCCAGCTCCTCGGTAGTAAACACCAATGCCACATCCTTGAATGTCACTGCCTCCTGTGACATCAAACACAAGTAACCTCAAGTCAGCTCCCAGGGAAGAGGAGCAGCAGTGCGGACACGGTCACGCGAGTGCCACGGTCACGCGGGTGCCACGGTCACGCGGGCGCCATGGTCACGCGGGTGCCATGGTCACGTGGGTGCTGCAGACTCAGAGGGGTCCAAGCAGACTGAGCGCCAATAGTTGTTCTGCATTCATACAACCCCCAACATCCCAAACTCTGACTCCCCCCTCCTTCTTCCCCTCTCTCTCTCTCCCCCCCCTCTCTTCTTCTCTCTCCCTCTCTGTGTGCGTGTGTGTGTGCATTTTCTTTCTTGAGGGGGAGGTGAGAAAGGGTCTCAGACAGCCCAGGCTGTACTCAAACTCAGTATCACAGAAGATAACCCTGAACCTCTGCTCCTCCTGGCTTCACTCCCACCGTGCTAGAACTTGGGCCCCGTACACCAGGCCTTGTTTTTATTTTGGCCATGCACACCAGGCCTGGGTTACACAGCGCTAGAGATCAAAGCCAGGGCTTTAGGGATACTAAGCGAGCGCTCTCTCCAGCTCCAGCCCCAGCCCCACAAACAGCTACTTCATAACCAAAATAACAGGTTATTTTTGACAGCAATTTTGTGAATTAGTAACAAGTGATAACACACACACACATATCATACACACACACAGCATACACAGACACACACATACAGACACACACATCACACATACACACACAGCATACACAGACATACACACACACACACACACACACACACACACACACACACACACAGCACCTAACTCATACGCAAAGATCTGCTGTTTTCTACCAATACCCCCCCCCCAAAAGACACAATGACATATAAAATTACTGAGAAATGTCTGACCTGAAATATGGCCATTTTCTCTTTTTCCTTTGAAGGAAGGTCACTCTCCTGAGAAGGCATAACTAAGGAAAGATAAAGAAGCCATGAAACAAATGTCAGAACTGCCATTAGCCAGGTGAAACACTGTCCCCTACTTCCAGACACATGCCACCACACATAGCTCGGAAATCAGAAGCACCCACCGACTTCAGCTACTAGCAGACCCCTTAGCTCAGCTGGGCAGTGAACCTATACAACTAATATCAGTATTCCTACTATAGAGTTTCAGATTCTGGAAATGGTGGGATAGGAGAGCCAGGAAAACAATATACAGGCAATGAATGAATGAATCAAAGTTAGGAAAGAAGAGAAAAAAGTAGGCTCTGAATGCCTGGTTCAATTTCTAGAAGTAATACTTACTATCCCAGCACAGGGAATGCTAGAAAACCTTTGTGCCTCACTTTTACCATTAGCATAATTTCTGCCTACCTCATAGGGTACCTCAGAGGACTAAATGAGTAGATGGAAAGTTATAAGAATAGGGGATTGAGCCGGACGGTGGTGGCGCACGCCTTTAATCCCAGCACTTGGGAGGCAGAGGCCGGTGGATCTCTGTGAGTTCGAGGCCAGCCTGGACTACCAAGTGAGTTCCAGGAAAGGCGCAAAGCTACACAGAGAAACCCTGTCTCGAAAAACAAAACAAAACAAAACAAAAAAAAAAGAATAGGGGATTGAAGTGTCACTCTGTTTAGTCTTATTAAATAAAAACCCATAGTCAGATATCAAAGGTGAAAGCTGAAAGATCAGAGAAACAGAGCAGCTACAGTCACTTAGAGACTTCTTACCTCTACAAAATCTCAGACTGAATGGGGCCAAGATCCTGTCTCTATGAATCCTCAGACTGAATGGAGCCAAGATCCTGTCTCCAACCTCCTTAGTGCTGGGATCAAAGGCTTGAGCCTCCCAAGTGCTGGGATCAAAGGCTTGCACCACCACCACCACCACCACCACCACCCAGCTGTTTCTCTTTTAGACTGGTTCAATCTCATGTAGTCTAGGGTGGCCTTGAACTCCTGATTTTCCTGCTTCTTCCACCCAAGTGCTGGGATTAAAGGTGTGTGCCACCATGGCCTGGCCTCTCTAATTAACTAGTGGCCAGCTCTGCCCTCTGATCTCCAGGCAAACTTTATTTGTCAGAACACAAACAGAATATCCTAACGGGATAGAGACTTGCAAAGGACCTAGGTTTGATTCCCAGCACCTACACAGTAGTTCACAACTGTCTGCAATTCTAGTCCAAGGGGATCCAACACTCTCTGTTGGCCTCTGTGGGTACCAGGCACTCATGCATCATACACATATAGATTCAGACAAAGCACTTACACACATAAAACAATAAGATAGATAAATCTAGAGTGTTTTTAAAGACTAGGAAATCCCTTTTCTAAGAGGAAAAAAAGGAGATATTTTACAACATAAACTATATATGCTAACGCTGTGCTCCTGTGAAAGTCACCTTTAATTTCTAAAGAGCCTAATTCTGACCGGAGATATCTTAACTAAATATTTTTGCCCCCAAAGTAATATTTTATTGACACTGGTATCTAAAAGGCATCATTTGATTAGCTGAACAAAAATGAAGAAAATAGGTATGAACCTTAAAAAAAAAAAAAAAAAAAAAAGGATTGCAAGAGGTTATGGGAAAACAGCATGCATCTATTATTACCTTCGGTGTTTTGTTTTGTTGGAGGCAGGGTCCCACTATCCTGGCTGGCCTGGAACTAGCTATGCAGCCCAAGCAGTCCATGAAGTCACAAAGATCCACCTGCTTCTGCCTCCCCGGTGCTGTGATTAAAGGCGTGTTCCATGACATTGGGCCACTTAAAAAAAAAAAGAAAAAAAACTCTCAGGAAACGTAATGACAGAGTGTGACTACGGTTCTGATAAAAGTCAAGCCTGCAACCTAAGCCCCTAAGACACACTTTAAAACGAGCAAGAAAGAGACACTGTTGGGAAGTTGGGCACTTAGCTCGGTGGTAGACCGATTTGCCTCCCCAGCCCAAGGCCTTAGATTCAGGCCCCACCACCAGTTTAAAACGACATTGTCAAATTTTAGGTATTTTTGTATTCTCTGTGTTTCTCAGAATGAGAATACATGCTGATTCAGCTTTATATTTTTGCTATAAATAACAACCCCCCTTTTTCAGGTGTGTGTGACGTGCATGTGTACGCATATTTTTGCATTTGTGTATAGCAGGAACCTAATAGAGTCACTGTATTTAGGGTAAACATTAGAATGTAATAAGCCAGGTAGTGGTGGTACACGCCTTTAATCCCAGCACTTGGGAGAGAGAGGCAGGAGGATCTCAGTGAGTTCCAGGCCAGCCTGGTCTACAAAGTGAGTTCCAGGCCAGCCAAGACTGTTACACAGAGAAACCCTGTCTCGGAAAAACAAGCAAACAAAGGCGTAATAGTTGTTTCTCACTGTATCTAGGGTAACAGTCGAATGTATAGAGGTACTAAGACCTTGAGGAAATTCTTGTAGAGCACAGCGATTGTTTTCTGTGATTTATAGAGTTGATTTTCTGAGGGAGTTTTCCATCTGTTGCACAGTCTTGGTCATAAGACTATCTAGGCACAGTTGGAGGTCTTGAATTATTGGGTACTGCAAACAGTTGCAGGGTGTGATGATTTCCTTTAGAGAACATATAGCATAGATCAAGGGGGCTTTGGTATGAGGAACTTGTTGTATCCCACACATAACCTTTGTGTACAATCAATAAATACGCTCTGAACGGAGGTTTGAGGTTCAGTTCACAGAAACTGTTCCTCCCTGCTGCCAGAGAGTCTAAAATTACATTCTGGGGTGACCCTCCTTCTTGGAACATCCCACAAAACACAGAATGCCAGAAATGTCTGTGGGCACCCATGCATGTGGAAGCCTGAGGCTGGAGTCAGGAATCACCCTTCCTTTCCCATCTCATTCATTCATTGACAGGTAGGGTCTCTCAGCCAAACCCAGAGCTCACTGATTAGGGCAGTCTTGCTAGGCAGTTTGCTCTAGGAATTCCATCTTGGCTGCCTAAGGCTAAGCTCTGACCTGACGTTTACATGGGTTTCTGGGGATCCAAACTCTAGTCCTGGATCGCTTTAACCCTGGAGCCACCTCCCTAGCCGGAGATATCGATTTCTATAAGAATGACACAGACAACATAAATTCCAAACCAACTAAAAGGTATAAAGCTAAGCCATGAAAGGTGAACAAGAGGAAGCAATGCAGGACCTGGTAAGTTAAAAACATATATACACGTATACAGAAAGAGATGTATGTAATATATACAGAGGGGAGATTACTTTCCTAATCATTCAATTTAAGAAGTGGCTTTGTACTTGAACTCAAGCAATACTAATATAAATACATATTAACAAGTAGACTGACCACAAAACAAAAACAAAAACAAAAACACACCCTGTATTCTTTCTAACTACACAAGGCACTACCAAACGCGGAGTGGAGACTCTCACCTGTAATCCCAACACTTGGGCGGTGGAGGCAGAAAGATCAGGAGTCATCCTTGGGGGCACAGTGAGTTTGAGGCCACCCCGAGCTACGTAAGACCCTGTTTCAAAAAAAAAAAAAAAAAAAAAAAAAAGGAGGAGGGGCTGGAGAGATGCCTCAACCGTTAAGAGCACTCGCAGATCTTCTAGAAGGGCAGAGTTCGGCTCCCAGCACCCATGTCAGGCCACCCACAATCGCCTGAACCCGTGCTCCAGGGGAACTGATGGCCCGCCCCTACTAGCCTCCTCAGGCACACGTGCTCATTCATTCATTCTCTGTCTCTGTCTCTCACGCACACGCAACCTTTTTTTTAAACAGATAAAATGCGATCATGTTTCTGGTGGCCAATTTTCGGGGTCAAGGGAGCCCAATGAACTCAAGGCACACCCCGACGAGAAAGAGTCTTCGGCGCAGTACCTGGGGCTGACAGCTGTGCCAAGTCCCTCCTTCCTGCTGTTCCCTGGGAACGCCTTAGGGAAAGGACGCGGGGAAATGAGGGAAAGCGCCGGGCAGTCTCCTAACGCCAGGGCTGGCTCCCGTCGCGGGCTCTCGGGGAGAAGGACGCCCGAGGACAGGGCCGGGCCCACAGCGGCAGATGCTAACCGCAGCAGATGCTAACCGCGCCACCACCCAGCCACCGCCACCTTCCCACTCAATCAACTGCGCCGACAGGAGCGGCTGAGAGGCGGGGATGGAAACTGCACTTCCGGTCCCCTCACTTCCGGCCCCCGGGAGCGGCCGTCGCGAAGGCTCAAAAGACTGGAAAGGGGCTGAGGCGGATGCGGGATGGACTCGCCGCCCTGATCGGAAAGAGGGTCTTGGAATACACTTCCCAGAACTCACCCACTGCAGGAAGGACCAAGTCGTGACCTCTGGGAGCTTCCGGACTACAACTTCCAGAAGCCCCTTCATCTTCCGGTCACTTTATGCGCCTCACAAGGGAAGATTGTAGACCCTTGGGATGAGTGTTGATCATTCCCTCAAATACTAGGTAGTTTGCATTGTTTTGGGGGTGGGAGGAGAGGGCTGTGACAAAATACCCGACAGAAATAACTTTAGGAAAGTTTTTTTGGGGTATCACCGCTTGAAAAGCGTGCTGGGAACAGCTGTTTGGGGCGTATGTAAATACAGTTTCACATCTGGTGGCTGGTCCACGAAGCAGAGAAAAGCCAGAACAGAAGCGAAGGTCTGCCCTCGAGACCCTACTTCCAACGTTTCAGTAACTTGGGGTCAAATGTTTAATACATGATTCTGGGGTCATTTCCCGTCTAGTCCATACTGTGCCAAACAAGAATCCATGGTACAGTATGGAGCATCTTGTTACTGCCAGGCGAACAAAAGTCACCGTCAGCCTGTACTGTCAGAAAGAATAATTGACTCTAGAAAGCATAGTGCAAACAAAACGTAAGACAAAGTCCCAGAAGACAGGACCCATCTGGGGAGGACAGATACTAACCATAAGACAATATCAAGTCTGTACTGCAGATGGCAGTACTGAGTGGCTTTCTGTTTTGTCTGCACCAGGGATTGGACCCAGGACCTGTGCAGGACAGGAAAGTATTCTAACACAGAGCTAACCACAAAGCGGGTTTTTATATTTTGGCTGTTCCCTAGTTTTAAAGGCTGTTAGGGTTCCTGTCCCAAACAGAAACTTCCATCTCAGTTTCAAAAGTACATTCCCCCGTTTACTAAAATATATCCAGTATCTTTTAAGTACTCGGCACTAGGTTTATGCCAATTCAGCAGCACTTTTCCTTTATAATGAACACTTCCAAAAGGCCCTGGTACTTCACCCTTCCCAAAGTTCTTGTGACACTTCAAAAAGGTCATGGTTGCAACCAAAGCCTTCTTAGGATAATTAACGGAGTGCCCAGAAACACCGGGATGTGAGGAGCAGGAACACTAACCTGAATGAAACAGTTACACTTTCTTTTGAAAAATGATTAAAAGAATTCACACAATAGTTATACTTTCTTTTGAAAAATGATTAAAAGAATTCACACAACAGGCCAGTGAGATGGTCCAGTGGGCCAAGATGCTTGCCACCAAGCCTGACATCCTGAGTTTGATCCCTGGTTCCCCAGACTGTGGAAAGAGGGAATTGGCTCCCGAAAGACATGCTCTGCTCTCCACACATAATGCTATGGCATGCCTCCACTAGTATGTGTGTGTCCCCAAACACACTACACTGTTTTTGAGATTAAGTTTTACTTTGTGTGTATGAACTCTTTGCCTACATACATGTTGGATCCTTTGCAAGAGCAACAAGTGCTCTTCACTACTGAGCCACCTCCAAACCCACACTAAACTATTTTAAAATGGAATGCAAAGCCAAAAAGAATGCACAGGATGCAAGTCCTTTAAAACATTATTTTATAGACCGTTTTTCCTGAACGGATTCCCTGATGTTTTTGCCATCTCTGGTGCTCTTGGAAGACCTATCACTGCTGTGGATTCTGTGATGAATTAGAAGATTTGACCGCCAACCAAAGTTCTTACCACAAACCTCACACTTGTAAGGTTTCTCCCCTGTGTGAACTCTCTGATGAGACTGTAGTTGTGAAGAGCGGCTGAAGACTTTCCCACACACATCACATTTGTACGGCTTCTCTCCAGTGTGGACTCGAAGATGGACTTGAAGATTGGAATTCAGGGTATAGCCTTTACCACACACAGTACATACGTATGATTTCTCTCCGGTGTGTATGCCCTGATGGGCCTGAAGACTTGAAGGTCGACTAAATTCTTTCCCACAGTCAACACACTTATAGGGTTTTTCTCCCGTGTGGACTCTCTGATGAATGTAAAGATTGGAGCTACAAATGAAGCTCTTCCCACACTCCTCACATTTGTATGGTTTCTCTCCTGTATGTACTCTCTGATGGGACCGAAGATGTGAATTCCGACTGAAACTCTTGCCGCATTCGTCACATTTGAATGGTTTCTCCCCAGTGTGGAGTCTCTGATGGTCCTGAAGATGAGAGGCCTGACTGAAGGCGCTCCCACACGCCTCACAAGCATACGGTCTCTCCCTGGTGTGGACTTTGAAATGAACATTAAGTGCTGATCTACAACGGAAAAATTTTCCGCATCGCTCACATTCGTATGGTTTCGCTGTTGTGTGGACCTTCTGGTGGCTGGGTGGATGTGGATTGTGACTGGCCCCCTGATGTCTTTCTCCCATGCGATCTCCTTGACAAACACAACCATCTGTGCTATCATGGATGCCTTTCTCACATTCAACCCATGTGCAAGACCTCTCTCCTGGGTGTGACGGCTGGTGAGGGCCACAGCTGGAGACATCAGGCACAGCCTCTTTAGACCGGTCATTTTTCTGTGCAGTGTGAATCGCTCTATTCTGGTCAAATGGCGCCATCTTTTCGTGCTCTCTCCCATAACCACTGGGGCTGTAAGAATCTTTACTTTTGTGTACTCTGTGATCATTGTGGGAATGTGAAATTCTACTTGCAGAGTCAACATCCTGTTTACTCCGACCCCGATCACTTCTGGTGGAAATCTGTTGATATCCATTCTTAGGACTCTGTGGCTCACTCAGGAAAATTTTCTGCCAAGAACCCTGGGTTCTCAACATTGGAAGTGGGAGTCTTCCGGTACCAATGGGCACCTTTAATTTATGACTCTGTACATGGTTCTCATCTTCAGAAACGACCTGGCAGGGAGAATCACCCTGTAACTGAGTAGTATTTACCATGGAGTCTTGACACCTGGTTAAGTTGTCTATGACCCGCTGCCAGATTTGCCAGCAGGAAAGGGCTTCATGTGACCCTCCATCTTGGACAGCCCTTAACTCACTCTGATTGTTAATTCCTATAAAGACAGGGAATAAGACAAGTGAAAACTGTTCACACTTCAGGATTTCACACTTAGGTCACAACACTAGACTTCAATGCAACTCAAGATGATTCTTCAGCGTATCTTTTTTTATCATTAATGAAGTTTTCTGGTTTAAATACTGACAGAAACCAAGATATCATCTACTGAGCTCCCAACTATTAAAAACCAAGGCTGGAGAGATGGCTCACCAGTTAAGAGCACTGGCCGCTCTTCTAAAGGACCCAGGTTCATTCACAGCAGCTCACAACTGTCTGTAACTCCAGTTGCAGGGGATCTGACACCCTCTTCTAGCCTCCATGGGCACCAGGCATACATGTGGTGTACATAAATATATGCAGACAAAACACCCATACAGAAAAAATAATTTAAATAAAAAAAAGAGAACTAATAAAAGCCATTTAAAATCAATTACTGACATACTCTCTGAATTTTTTTTTCTTTTTAAAATTATGTATCTTTCCTACCACTTGACAGTGTCAACAGGAAGGAACATTTTATGGTGCTTGGTTTTCTAGCCACTACCCAGAACCCTGCCTGGCATGTGTTCCAGCAAAGTACATCAAGGTGGCTTCCCAGTTCACGCTGACTCCAAATCCAAGTCACAGAAGCAAGAGTGTTTTAAAGTAAATGCATGAAAGAGATCTGGACCGAAGTGCTGCTGAGAAACTGCAAAGCCATGTCTGAGGCAGGGGCATAGGGTGGAAGTAGGTCAGTGCTGAGGACAGAATCAAAGGCCAAAGGAAACGCCTGAAACAAAAGGAGGCGCGAAGATATCCCCCAGCGCTCTGAGGCATCTGCTTTCACCTGAGTTAAGAGTCAAAATTCAGAGGCAATGAAGGCTGTTGTCATTGTGAAAACAAGGAAGCCAGTATTTTGGAGTTAGCCAGGCGTGGTGGTACACACTTCTGATCCCCGGCACACGGGAGGCAAAGGCAGGCAGACCCCTGCAAGTCTGAGGTCAGCCTGGTCTACAGAGTGAGTTCCAGCCAACCAGGGCTATAAAGTGAGTCCCTGTTCTCAAACCAAAGTCTTCCAACTTGATAAATGCAGTATATCAGTGAATTAGAAACTAAAATAGTGGTGGCGCACGCCTTTAATCCCAGCACTCGGGAGGCAGAGGCAGGCAGATCTTTGTGAGTTCAAGCCCAGCCTGGTCTACAGAGCGAGATCCAGGACAGGAGCAAAGCTACACAGAGAAACCCTGTCTCGAAAAACCAAAAAAAAAAAAAAAAAGCTTGTGATAAACATTTAGAGGAAATAGGTGACAGATTACCAGAGAACCACCACAAGCAGTAATGGCATCACTAAATGTCTACTGAACATATATAATATATGCATATATATTATACATAGAATATATGAAACATATTTTACATACATATAAAATGCATGATATATAATATATACGTAATATATTACATCTATTATTATATACATAATAATGTATATAATTTCCCCCATACGTTTGTTGGGCTAACAATGGAATATTAATTTCTTACTGTTGATGTGAACTTTGGAAAAAACTAATGGAATGCAGCTGGGCAAATCTTTTAAAGGTGAGGGTCACTCTGGCTACTTTCTTAGACTCCCTTCTCTGATATAAGGAATAGGAAGACAGACTTACTCTTCCTACAGATATATCTGAAGAACTAATCATAAGAATTCTCATGGGAAACATTTCCCGGATGACACCTTGGTGGTGGAGCACCTGTCTGGCATGCACGAGGCCCGAGGTTCGATCCCAGTGCCGAGTGAGGGTGGGAGTGGTGAAAACCATATTTAAACGTGATTTCCTATACCTCCTCACACCACGTCACAGAGAAATCTTACTCAGGCTCGTCATCTCCATAGAACCACAAGTTCTTTAAGACTGCGTGAGTCAACCTGTACAAAGCCACACTCCGGAGAAGTCAAAACGAGGCTAGGGATTAATGTGAAGACAGATCCACAAGCCTGTCGCAGTAACCTAGGAACAAGGCTGGACGTTTGGGCAGCATGATAGGATTAACAGGACAGTGAGCAGCAGGTCCTACGGCTGAGCCACGTAAGACTGCGCCTAAATGTCTCCCCCGCTGGGTTGCCCTATTCATTAGAGGCTTCACTTCCCTTTCCACGTGTGATTTATCTCATTTGAGAAGTTGATGCTCTGTGAACACGCAAAATCACAGATGTAAAAGGGGCATGCTAGAGCGAAAATGCACTGGAAACTTCAGTTGCAACCAAATCGTCATCAATACCATGAAAATAGTGTGTTTCAAACTTACAACAGTCCAGTGAAGAGATACCATTTATTTTGTGACCCTCCCACCATAAACATATACTGCAAAAACCAAGTTGGACCTACTTTCAGCTGCCGTCTGCAGTTATCAAGTCCCTCTTACACCTACTCGGGCACCTAGCCGGCTTTCCCTACAACGTGTATTATTTTCACTAAGGAAGGCTGCTGTTTTCTACTTCTTCATTAATTACCAGTACAGGGGCTGGACAGATGGCCCAGTGGTTAAGGCCACTTGCTGCTCTTCCAAAGGACCAGAATTCAGTTTCCAGCACCCACAACTGCCTAACTCCAGCCCCAGGGGATCCAATGCCCCCTTTTCTGACCTCTGAGGACTCCCACACCAAAGTCTCTCTCTCTCTCTCTCTCTCTCTCTCTCCCCCCCACACCAAAGTGTCTCTCTTTCTCTCTCTCTCTCTCTCTCTCTCTCTCTCTCTCTCTCTCACACACACACACACACACACACACACACACACACACACACACACACACACACACAAATAATAAAAATAAATATCTTTTAAAAAATCATCAGTATAAGGGCTGGAGAGATGGGCCAGCAGTTAAGAGTGCTTGCTGCCTTCCAGAGGACCCCAAATTCAGTTCCCAGCACCCACATCCTGTGGCTCACAACTACCCATAACTACTGATACCCTCTTCTAGCCTCGGAAGGTACCCACACTCATGTACACACACACAGAACAAATAAGATGTAATAATTTTTAAGAATAATAAAATGGCCAGGCAGTAGTGGCGCACGCCTTTAATCCCAGCACTCGGGAGGCAGAGGCAGGTGGATCTCTGTGAGTTCAAGGCCAGTCTGGGCTACAAAGTGAGTTCCAAGAAAGGCGCAAAGCTATACAGAGAAACCCTGCCTCAAAAATAAATAAATAAATAAATACATACATACATACATACATACATAAATAATAAAATGTGGGGCTAGAGAGGCAACTTGGTTGTTAAATGCACTGGCTGGTCTTCCAGAGGACCCAGGTTGAGTTCTCAGCACCCACATGGGAGCTTACAACCATCTGTGACTCCACATCCAAAGGATGTTTTCAAGACAGGAAACATCTCCTCTCTGCTCACAGGAATGAACAAAGTCAGGAAACCATTTGAGAGCCCCAAAGCTTCCCAACTCCAAAGTCACAAAGGTATGTGCCAGAGAGCATCCATCCTCACCCACTGAGAGCAGGTTCTGAAAATTCTCCACCATCACCTCTTGGTACAGTTTCCTCTGGGCGGGGTCCAGGAGCCTCAGCTCCTCCTCACTGAAGGCCACAGCCACATCTTTGAATGTCACCGTCTCCTACAACAAGCAAAAGCGACCTCAATCTCTGTTAGCAACGTTGAAACAGTCTATCCTGAGGGAAGTTCAGAAAGACTCAGGAAGTTCTAAGATGAGGCTCCTTGAGATTCCAGAAGTAAACAACTCGTAAGTCTCAGGAAGTCCTTGAAACTGACCAGATGCACAAAGTCCCTCTGGGCACAGGGTTATATGAGCAGTAAGGACTGCTGAGGGGACTCAGATCCGCAGTTTCCCGGAAGGGACTCCTCTACCTATTGAGGTGTCTGCAGGTCATACATAAAGTTTCAGGGTGACACCTTTCTATGACACATCATGCTCCTGGAGTAACCCCAATAAATTCACTGATTCACCAACTTGGACTTGGGCGGTATTGTTACTAGAGTCTGTTGTGGATTCCCTACGTGGAGTGAGTAGACGTTTGTTTGTGTCTCCCCAGGGAAAGGGTCAACACCAATGTCCACTAGACATACAACGGCCCTGAAAAGGCCAGGAGGGGTTAAACTTACAGGGAGGGGCAAAGAGGCGTCTGACACATCCTACGGACCTCCAGTGCTTTTGTACATCCTGTTTTTAAAATCTCGTTTATTCAGTGTGTGTGTGTGTGTGTGTGTGTGTGTGTGTGTCACACAGGAGTACATGTGACACTGTGCTCGTGTGAAAGAGAGTGACTTGTGGAAGTTGGTTCTCTGCTTCCACCATGTGGGTCCTGGGGATCAAACTTAGGTCACTGGGCTTGGAGGCACGCACCTTGACCCCTGCGCCATCTGGTCTACCTTCAAGGGCTTTGAGTCTCTTTACAAGAGAAAACCCCTCCAGCACGAGATCACCTAGGTATTCTGATGGCGGAAAATGGCAAATTCTATTTACCTTGTGTGTGCTCATCTTTTTCTCGCTCCTTCCGGGAGGTACAGAGCCTAAGAAGGCAGAAATAGGAAAAGAGATCAGAGGACATTGAGCCAGCGTGTCACTGACCACACGGCTGACCCGTGTCAGACGGTCAGGTCATGTTCCTCGTGGCTCGTGGTCAGAGGAAGGCAGAGACGCCGCGTAGGACGGGACGGGACGTATGCCTTTCAGGAGCACATCACAGAACAGTTCACCCAATCACAACAGTAGATTTTCTTATACTAGTTTTTGCAATTTTCTGTAAGCTTTAAAGTATAAGAAAAATTTTAATAATCAGAAATTGTCATAGTGACCACTGGTAACAATGGTGATGACGGTGCCCGGGAATGCTAATCCACAGTAACCAGTAGTCAGTCTTCTCAGTCCTGGAGGAAGTACTCAGTACAAGAGAAGGCAAGGAATCCACTCCCTAGAGCATACAGGGAATGCATCCAGAATTCTAATTTGACCCTACACATCTACCTACCCCTGGGATTCTGTAGTAAGGCATGACTGCTGATAGTATTTATTGTTTAATCCCAGCACTGGGCGGGGGAGGGGGGGAAGCAGGCGGATCTCTGTGAGTTCAAGGCCAGCCTGGTCTACAGAGAGAGTTCCAGAACAGTCAGGGCTACACAGAGAAACCCTGTCTGGAAAAAAAAAAATTATTGATCAAGGGGAAAAAAAAGGTCTCAGGACTGGATAGGATTACAGTGTTTCCGGCTCCATTTTATCTGTGCTACGAGGCACAGTGAACTTTCTAGGCCTGAATTTTCAGATGAGACCCTTCCCTGGACTGTTTACATTTGACCTGTGAGGGAACCACACAGGTCAAATGTAATGTAAAAGGTAAAATTCCTGTATCTGCAGGAATTCAGTTAGGTGGGCAGGGCTTGAGCATGGGCGGGGCTACCCAGGTGAGGCCAGGGCTGCCATGCCAGTTCATGGTGAGTTTCTGAACTGCTGCAGGGGACAACCAGTCCCCAGGAACAGAGCAGCCACGAAACAGAAACTTACCCGAGAAAACCTGATAGAACCAGGGCCATTGTTCCATTGACACGCTAAGGTAGTACAATTTTTCGCTTTACATAATTCTGTATTTTCCGACATTTCCATGTCTGTAAGGTAAACATTATTTGGGAAAACTGGAATAGATAAAAAAACACTTTTTGAGAAACCTAACACAAGGGACTGGGGAGATGGCTTAATTGGTAGATCTGGGCAAGCATGGGGGACCGAGTTCCATCTCAAGAATGCATTTTATTTTAAAAGGGAGTGGGTGTACAGGGGGCTGAATGCCAGTGGCCCAGGTTTGTGCCAGTGCTGGGAAGGGCAGCTAATGGCATTATCTCTTGCTTGTTGGCTAGCTAGCCAGCCTCACCTAACTGGGCAAGCTCAAGGCCTACAAGGTGATTCGGTGGTAAAGGCTCTTGCCACCAAACCAGACTGAGTTTGAGCCCCAGGACCCACGTGGGGCAGGTGTGCAGCATCTACCCCAAGTGGTTCCCTAATCCCCACCTGCACACTGAAACTCTCGTGCCCCACCCCGCAAGTAAATGTTAAATGAGAAAAGGGGGACTGCTTGGGGAAAGGCAGCCTACACACACACACACACACACACACACACACAAATATACAAACCCTGCTCTCAAGATCCCTATTTTCACATCACAGTTCTAACCTATTTTTACATGATACTGTCCAGTTTCCTCGGCAAGCTTGGATTAAAAAGACTATGCAATCAGTGTGGGTTTGCACATGCTAGCTTCTGAAGCCAGCCTCCTGACTCGGTGGCTTCCTTGTATTACAGTCACTCCCAAGTGTACAACCCTACACATCCTCCAGCGTCATCTTACTCACGTGGGTGGGGCTCCGCGGGGTGCTTTTGGGGAAGTCAGGGCTGCGGAGAAACAGAAAATAGCAAAATTACAAAATTCCATCTCCAACTGGTGGCTCGTGCCCCAGTACCTGCAGCCAGCTCCTTCCTGTAAGGGTCATAGGTGGGGACAGCCCTGAGCTTGCTAGCTCACAGAGGCTGTGAACTGGAATATTACAGTGGTCTCCACGAGACCCACGTGCCAGGCAGTTTTAAGCATTTTACGATCCATTTTTTTTTCCACCTCTAAACATTCTATTAGGAAGTCTAACTTCTCTTTTGTAGAACAGCCAGTAAACGCAGAGGGACCCGCTAAAGCCGCAGGAGCAGAGCAGGCTGTGGGGCAGGAGAGGGAGATGCAGGAGGGAGGGGGGGCTGCGGGCAGGGAGGGGCCTCGGGAGGGGGGCTGCAGTGGAGAGGGGGCTGCAAGGCGGGGAGGGGCTGGGGAGGGGGGCTGCAGTGGAGAGGGGGGACTGCAGGAAGGGAGAGAGGGCTGCAGGCGGGGAGGGGGGACTGCAGGCGGGGAGAGGGGGCTGCAGGCGGGGAGGGGGCTGCAGGGAGGGAGAGAGGGCTGCAGGCGGGGAGGGGGGCTGCAGGCGGGGAGGGGGGCTGCAGGCGGGGAGGGGGGACTGCAGGCGGGGAGAGGGGGCTGCAGGCGGGGAGGGGGCTGTAGGAAGGGAGAGAGGGGGCTGCAGGAAGGGAGAGAGGGCTGCAGGCGGGGAGGGGGCTGCAGGCGGGGAGGGGGGCTGCAGGCGGGGGAGGGGAGACGGCAGGCGGGGAGGGGGGGGCTGCAGGCGGGAAGAGGGGGGCTGCAGGAAGGAAGAGAGGGCTGCAGGTGGGCAGAGGGGGGACTGCAAGGCGGGGAGGGGGCTGCAGGCGGGGAGGGGGGACTGCAGGCGGGGAGGGGGGGACTGCAGGCGGGGAGGGGGGACTGCAGGTGGCAGCAGGAGGGGGACTGCAGGCGGGGGAGGGGGGACTGCAGGCGGGGAGGGGGGGGACTGCAGGCGGGGGAGGGGGAACTGTGGAAGGCGGCTAGCACCAGGGGCCCGCAGACTGGGGGACGGCCCCTCCCCTGGGATGCCACCAGCTCCTTACCTTTCAAGCCTCGCTCCTTCCTTATCTCCCCAAATGCAGGAACTGACGATCTCAAGCGCACCTAGGGGACGTTCTAGGGGTTCCTGGCTAAAATAACTCAAACCCAGGGGGACAGACAGCTAACGAGCCAACCCGAAGCGAGTGAGTTCCCAGAATTCCGCGTGGAGAAACTGGTTCTGGCTGGGTGGTAACGGAAGTGAGGATGCAGGGGCACGGACGGCGTCCCAGAATGCTAGAGGACGAGGACCGCCCTCCTCCATCGAATTTCCTTCTCCGTTTTCATTTCTCAGGCTCCCTAAGAAAGTCCCGGGTCAGAGGTCTTTACACGGTAGTGGTAGTGTGTGTACCTTGAAAGCACATAGGGTCTGGGGCTGGAGAGGTGACTTAGTGGGGAGGGCACTGTTATTAGAGGCCGCGGGTCCCAGCACTCACAAGGGAGCTCAAAACTGCTAACTCCAGTTCCAGAGGACCAGCCGCCTTCTCCCGGCCTCTGCCTGTAGGTGATGCCCAGACACAATGCAAAACGGCAAAACATCCATACAAATAAAACCTTTTCGTTGTTGTTGTTTTGTTCTTGTTTTTCGAGACAGGGTTTCTCTGTGTAGTTTTGGAGCCTGTCCTGGATCTCGCTCTGTAGACCAGGCTGGCCTCGAACTCACAAGAGATCCGCCTGGCTCTGCCTTCCAAGTGCTGGGATTAAAGGTGTGTGCTACCACCGCTGCCCCGGCTCAAATAATTTTTTTTAAAAAAAACTAAAAATATACAAAACAAAACAGACCCTATTTATTTATTGGTGTGTTCATGCATGTGTGTGAACATTCTACTGCACCAGCGAGGAATTCATGGGACAACTTCCAGGAGGAAATTCTCTCCTTGCTCCCTTGTAAGGCTAGGGAGCAGGGGCCTTTCCCTGCTGAGCCATCTTGCCAGCCCTTGACAGCAAAGGCCACGCACATGAAAATAACCAACTTTCAAAAATGGGCCAAGATTCAAACATGGTTCAGCATTTAAATAGGAATATGTTTAGCAAACAAGGGCATGTTATGGTGGTATTGTGTTCCCCAAAATATTGTGTACCCTAATAAACTTATCTGGGGGTCAGAGAACAGAACAGCCACTAGATATAGAGGCCAGAAAATGGTGGCACACACACCTTTAATCCTATCACTTGGGAGGCAGAGATCCGACTGTATCTCTTTTAAAGCCACACTGGAAACAGTCAGGCATGGTGACTCACGCCTTTAATCCCAGGAAGTGATGGCAGAGAGCAAAAAGGTATATAAGGCGTGAGGACCAGGAACTAGCCTGGATAAGCCTGGTTAAGCTTTCAGGCTTTCGAGAAGCAGTTCAGCTGAGATCCATTTGGATGAGGACTCAGAAGCTTCCAGTCTGAGGAAACAGGATCAGCTGAGGAATTGACAAGGTGAGGAAGCTGTGGCTTGTTCTGCTTCTCTGATCTTCCAGCATTCACCCCAATACCTTGCTCCAGGTTTATTTTCATTAATAAGACCTTTTAAGATTCATGCTACAACATGTAGAGATAATTTTTAAAGAAAAGAAATGGATATAATCAAAATGAGCCAGCACCATAAACTTGTGAGAGGCAAAAAAAAAAAAAGGGGGGGGGGCAAAACCAAAAGAAAACGCTAATATCCCAAGTGCTGGTGAGGAGAACTGAACTATCACACAGTGATGGAGAGGATGCAAAATGGACAGCTGTGTTTAAAAGCTCTGGTTTTAGTAACAATTAAATTTTTTTTTTTTGGTTTTTCGAGACAGGGTTTCTCTGTAGCTTTGCGCCTTTCCTGGATCTCGCGCTGTAGACCAGGCTGGCCTCGAATTCACAGAGATCCGCCTGGCTCTGCCTCCCGAGTGCCGAGTGCTGGGATTAAAGGCGTGCGCCACCACCACCCGGCTTAAATATTCTTTTTACCATTAATCAACATAGTAATAATTGTGAATCTGAATGAAGGCAAAGGAAACCATGATACAGGACATGGTTTTCAATTGTTTACAGCTGCTTTCCCCCACCCCATTACCAAACCTGGAAACCCAAACAAGTGTGATATACTCATACAAAAGAATACTATTTAGCAATGAAAAGGAATGACTGAGGCCTGGGGATTGGGGGGAGGTAAAACACTCGCTTCTGTCTGGAGCCATGGGTGCAGTCTCTAGCAACCCCCACCCAGGACACACACAAAATGGATGGATTGAAGAGTCATACAAGTGAAAGAAGCTCGATGCAACAGGCCACACAGGATAGGGTTCCATTTATGACATTTTGGAAAAAGCGAAGAATACAGACAGCCCAGGATCAGTGGTTGTCAAGGGCAGAGGTGGGGGAAGAATGCAGCGAGGATGCTGACACTTACCTGCCGTAGTGGGAGCCGCCCCACAGGAACCAGCTGCCAAATCGACAACGATACAGCAAAGTCTGTCTACCGTGTCCAATTCCATTAAAGCCCTTTCACTGAGATGCCACAGTGACCTCTTACCTCACTGAATATTGTTTCCTGAATAAACGGAGAGGTCACACTCCACGTACAAAAGCATCCTGCATGCCGGGCGGTGGTGGCGCACGCCTTTAATCCCAGCACTCGGGAGGCAGAGCCAGGCGGATCTCTGTGAGTTCGAGGCCAGCCTGGACTACCAAGTGAGTTCCAGGAAAGGCGCAAAGCTACACAGAGAAACCCTGTCTCGAAAAACCAAAAAAAAAAAAAAAAAAAAAAAAAAGCATCCTGCACCTAAACAAGCCCTGAGAATGGACGTAACGTAGCTGCAGTTCAGAAACCATAGTGTTTGTTGGCACTGAAGGTGGAACTGACTGGAAATGGCCGTGAGGCACATTTCTGTTGACTAGAAACATCATTTACAGCTATGTTGATGACCACAGAAGCGTAAACATTTGTCAAAATTCAGGAAGCAATAAAATTGAGATCTGTGCATGTGTGACTACATATAAATATATTTCAACGATGGACAAGCATGCCAAAAAGCTGGCCACAACCCACTGATTTCCCAAGCCACGAATGCATGAAGACCTTCAATTTGATAGACATTTGTCCACAGGCTCCACAGGGTTGGGAAAATTGGCCTGTGTGTATAACTTAAATGTTCTTCAAGCCTCCTAGGAATAATTTTACAGAAACTTTAGTCAGAGATAGATTGAATAAAAAATTTCAAATGACTGCTTTTCTCAAAGCTGACTTAAGAGTTACTGAAGGCATATGATGTCTCAGGCACTGCTCGGGAATATAGGTACACAATGTAGGTATACACCTCAAGCGTTTACTGTTAATCAGGAAGAAATGTATTTCAAAACAATTTCAATAAGTGATACTTTATTAACGACGAAAGCAAATTTGCATAGTAATGCTGTGGAACACTTTTATATAAGAGGAGCTATTTGGATGTTTAAAATCACACTGGCCAGGACACAACACAATCTGCAGCTAACTGGTTTGATACTTAAGTATGAAGGATGAACAGGAAGATACTGTAAGTAAACTATTATGCTTCTGTAAGAGCAGAAACTGTGCGTACAGTAGAAAGCACTGCAATTCCTAACAGACAACGTCGACCCTGAGCAGAGAGACTTCACACAGCACCTGTGGGCAGTGTGTGGTGACAGGGAGAGGTCAGGGCTCATGCTGTGTGTTCGGAGAAAGGCAACAGTAAAGTCACACAGTCGCAGCTTGGGTTGGAGCTGCCAGAAAGCCCTCAGATTTACTGCCTGTGGAATTTGGGGTTTCAGGTCACTGGATATGTAGAAAGCTTGTAGTGTATGTAAATACCTTGTGACCACCACATTCGGTTATGCAGCCCCACATGAGGTTGTGACTAGCAGCTTAAGAAACTCTGCTCCTGTCAAAAAGATCTTGTCCTTTCGGCCCTAAGATGTTTAGATACCTCCAGATCACACTCGACTTTCCTGCGGTTACTGTCTCAGCTTGTTAAGATCAAAGTTCTGAATGAAGTCTGCATGGCTCCAACGTACAGGCTTCTTTGTTCTGTGGTCTCCCTATCATTGTTAAAACATTGACCCTTTTGTGATCCAACTCCTTTGTCTCCCATGACACTTCGAAGAACTGGAACATTTCGGCTTCCTTCTGAAATATCAGAGCATAAAACCTTACAGAATTTGTTTCCCGGGCGAGTCCTCTGGTGCAGGGAAATCCCTGTGACCCTCATCCTCAGCATGGGCTCGCTGGTGAACCAGGAGACCGGAGCTCCAGGTGAACCCCTTCCCACAAGCCTCACACTTGTATGGTTTCTCTCCAGTGTGAACCCTCTGGTGTGCTTTGAGGTATGAGCTCCAGCTGAAGACTTTCCCACACTCGTCACACTTGTACGGTTTCTCTCCAGTGTGGACCCTCTGGTGGTCTTGGAGGTAGGACCTCTGCCGGAAGCGTTTTCCACACACGTCACATGGGAATGGTTTTTCTCCTGTGTGGACTCCACGGTGAGCTAGAAAATTGGATGCCCGACAGAAACCTTTTCCACACTCCTCACATTGATAGGGTCTTTCTCCAGTGTGGGACCTCTGGTGGGCTTGCAGGTGTGACTCTACACTGAAGGCCTTCCCACACTCTGCACACTGATACGGTTTCTCCTCACTGTGGACTCTCTGATGCACCTGGAGAATCGAGACTCGACTGAAGGCTTTCCCACACTTCTCACATTTATAGGGTTTCTCTCCTGTGTGGATTCTACAATGAACGTTCAGATCTGAACTCCGGCTGAATCCCTTCCCGCACGTGTTACATTTGTAGGGTTTCTCCCCAGTGTGGGTTCTCTGATGGGCCAGAAGAAGAGAGGCCTGGCTGAAGCCCTTCCCACACGCCTCACAGATGTAGGGTTTTTCTCCCGTGTGGACTCTTAAGTGATTGTTAAATTCTGAGCTGTGACAGAAACTCTTCCAACAAGCATTGCACTGATAGGGCTTGTTTCCAGTGTGGCCTCTCTGGTGGTCCAGAAGCGTTGAGACCCGAGTGAAGCCCTTCCCACACTCCTCACATTTATACGGCTTCTCTCCAGTGTGCCTTACCTGATGGGCTTGAAGGCTTGACAGCCGGCAGAAGGAGGTGTCACATTTTTCACATCTGTACTTCCTCTCTCCGGCGTGGGCTTTCCCGTTCACCTCAAGGTGAGAGCCCCAGCTAGAGTCTTTCTCCTCTGTGCAAGGTTCTTCACCACCGTTCATTCCACAGCGGAGGTGCAGCTCTGAATTCCGACTGGAAAGTTGACTGAACTCCGCTTCTTCGCTCTGGCCAGCATCCTGTTTCCCCAACGCAGAGCCAGTTCCTCCATCATTCCCCCTGCAGTCCCGACCCTGGGTTAACTCCCTTGTAACTTGTTGCCAGATTCGTGAGCAGAAAAGCTCCTCCTGTGGCAGGTGCCTCCATCCTGCCTCCTGAAGTGACTCCATCTCATTTAGATTCTTGGCTCCTAAAAGCATAAAGGGAATTCAGAGAGAGGTAGGGCGTGTGGCTGCTCTGGTGGCTGCTGTCGGGGTTATGTAGTTAAGCCCACAGCCTAAGGCTTCACTGAACCAGAGAATGGTACCCCCTTCCCTTGAACATCCTGTGTCCTGTCTTCTCACCTACACACCCTGGAACCCGGGGCAGTGCAACAGGCTCCCATTCACCATGTAATAATGAAAACCATCAAGAACCCCGGAAAGCATCACAGGTGAATGATAAGTTCAAATTTTTCTTATCTCTAGAGCAAGACAAGTATTTCCATCAGGAAAAAAAAAAAACAAAAACAAAAAACAGCTTTTTTTTTTTTTTTTTTTGCCAGGTGTGGTGGCGCACACCTTTAATCCCAGCATTTGGGAGGCAGAGGCAGGCAGATCCCTATGAGTTCAAGACCAGCGTTGTCTGAGAAACTCTGTCTCAGGAAAAAAAAAAAATATATATTTTTATATATATATATATATATATATATATATATATATATATATATATATAAAGGAGAAAAGAGAAGAAAAAAGAAAGAAAGAAAAGGAGACAGGAAGTCAGAAAAAAAACAGAAGGTAAATGGCAGTCACTGACGATCCCCATATCACTGGATCATGCATCATGCCCATCTTACTACAGAGATGGTCTTGCCTTGCAAGGGGAAGACCACAAAATCCTGTTGATTTTTTTTTTTTTTTTTTTGAGACAGGGTTTTATGTATCCCAGGCTGGTCTTGAACTCCCAATCTTCCTGCCTCCACCTCATGAGTGCTGTTTTGTTGTTGTTTTGTTTTTTCGAGACAGGGTTTCTCTGTGTAGTTTGGGTGCCTGTCCTGGATCTGGCTCTGTAGACCAGGCTGGCCTTGAACTCACAGAGATCTGCCTGCCTCTGCCTCCTGAGTGCTGGTATTAGAGGTGTGCACCACCACCGCCCAGTGAGTGCTGGTTTATACCAGGACTCCACACCTTTTGTTTGTTCAGGACTGGGGAGTGAACCGAGGACTCTGCACGTGCTAGGCAAGCCTTCTACCACTGAGCTACATCCTTGGCCCTTTTTCACGGTTTCAGACAGGCTATCAAATTTTCTCTGCTTTGCTTTGAAAATGCCTTCTGAGTAGCTGAGATTACAGGGTTGGGAATTACCAACAGGTCTGGCTACATCTCTAGCATCTTTTTTTTTTTTAATTCAAAACACAGTCTTAAGATGGGAATTGAGCAGCATCTGGGATGCAAAGGCAAGCCAGTCTGGACCTGTGAAGGGTTACACAGTGAAGACAATAACCAACAAGCTGAGCGTGATGGCCGGGGCCTGTAATTCCAGCACTTAGGAGGCGGGAGAATCACAAGTTCAAGGCCAGCCTCAGCTGCATAGTGTGTCTGAGGCCAGTCTGGACTACTAAGACCATGTCTCAAAAAACAAAAGCAAACAACAGAAAAAGGGAAATTATGTTATTGGGAAAAAGAAAAATTTAGCTGCCACTAAAGATTTACATGGACTGGAGAGATGGCTCAATGGTTAAGAGCACTGGCTGCTCTTCTGGAGGACCAGAGTTCAATTCCCAGCACCCGCATGGCAGCCCACAACCATCTAACTCCAGTCCCAGGGGATCTGATGTCCTCTTCTGACTTCTGCTGCTACTAGACATGCATGTGGTGCACAGACATACACACAGGCGGGCAAAAATTAAGGTTTACATGACTAGTATACCTTTTCAACTATTTCACCCCTTTTCTTGATGCAGAAACATGAGAACAAACAATATATATGTAGAGTGATGGAGCATGGCATCATTTCCTTTCTTTGATTTAATCACCGTATTTATTTAATAAGCATTTCCTCTTACATTTGTCCTTAAAGTTTTGTCTTTTTGTTTTTTAAATGACCTTCAGGGGCTTGGAGTGGTGGTTCAGAGGTTAAGAGCACTGGCTGCTTTTTCGGAAGACCTGGGTTTGATTCCCTCCACCTACATGGCTGCTCACAGCCATCTGTAACTCCAGTTCCAGGGTAAGCTGATGCCCCCTTCTGGCCTCAGAGGGCACTGCATGCACCTGGCGCACAGACATACATGCAAGCCAAACAACCAAGCACATTAAATAATAAAACATTTCTTAAAAGGACCTTCAAGGAGCTGGAGAGATGACTTGACAGCTAAGAGTGTGTTTTGCCTTTGCAGAGGATGTAAGATCAATACCCAGCACCACATTGGCAGCTTACAGCCGACTGTAACTCCAGCAACGAGGGCACTGACCTCAGGTGCACATACCCTCACACATAAACATACTTTCAAATAAAAAATAAACTTTAAAACTGACCTTCAAAGGAAACTTAAAAAAAAAAAAGACTATGCTCCTGAGAATTTTTTAACCAAAACAATACATCCTCCACACAATTCTACCATGACCAACTGTGCTCTGTTATACAGACAGGGATTTAGCACATGACCTCTGTCAGTACGAAAACACAGGGTCTCAGTAGGTATTCCTTGTTGTCCTGGAACCTGGTAGATCAGGCTAGCCTCCGACTCACAGAGAGCCATAGTGTGCATCACCACACCCAGGCAAGGCTACCTCGGAGGTGTCACCAGAGGGTCACTCCAGTGTTAGAAGCTGCTATGGGACCATCAGGATGACCACCAAGGCACCTCCAGAGGAGCCCAGAAAGGAAAGACGACAAATGGCGCCGCAGAAACGGCCCTTGGGACTCCTGTCCCCTCTCCCTATGTGTTTAAAAACATTTCCATGTTTACAAAGCCAGCAGACTCAGGAAAAACGTCACGTCAGGAAACCAACAGGGAACACGATGGAGGCCGGGAAAACGTCCTGCCTGGGCTGCACTGCTTCACACTGAAGCCTGGGGTCCCAGGACTTTAAAGTACATTCAGTGGCCGGCGCTTGAGCAAAATATGTGTGTGTGTTAATTGTGTGCATGTGCATCTGAGCAATAAATACAGGCAAGGCCTTGTATGTGCTAAGCACAGCTGTCCTGCTAACACCCCTGCCCTTAAGATGTATTCTTCACTCAGCCTAGTATATAACAAGTTCTAGGTCAGCCAAGGCTACAGAGTGAGATCCTATCTCAAGGAGGAAAAAAAGGATTTATTACTTACTATATACATCAAAAATAAAAATAAAAGCATGTATGGGGTGTAATGATTCTTCAGTCAAACAGCTGAATTGTTTAAGTGAAAAATTCTTAGTATTGGCACACCCTGGAAAAGATAAGGTGCGTCCACTGAGTTTTTCAAGTATGTAGTTTGTCATTTCTGCAGAAAGTACCATTTCTGAATGTGGTATTCTTGTGTCTTCTAGGACGTGTATCAGATTTGGGGAGAATAATTAATCCCTTCCGATCAAGCTGTGTTTCTCTATAAGGCATCAACTGGCCCCTTATTTAAACTGAACTCTATCTTCCCTAATGTATCGGGAAGTGAAACTGTTTTCCTTTCTCCCTCCGCCCCACAAGGTCTCGCTATGGCTAGTAGATTTCTTCTACAGCATCTGTTGTTTCTGTAGACAACCAAGCCATGACCGTCATACGGTACTTTTAAATAAGACTAAACAACAGGCGATATTCTTCCCTGGGCCTTTCCAGAAGGGGCGGGTGGCTGTGAAGCAAAGACGGCCTTGAACGCTGCTTGTTTTCTGAGGACTTCCGTCCTCACTGTAAGGGGCAGGTCACTTCTAGGGTCCTGGCTAAGTGGCCTTTGAAAAGCCTGGGATGCAGCTCAGTGGTAGCAGCCTTGCCCAACACATACCAGGCCTTGGCTCCATCCTCGGTACTGCCACAATGAAATAGAAAGCACCTCCCCACCGGGCGGTGGTGGCGCACGCCTTTAATCCCAGCACTCGGGAGGCAGAGTCAGGAGGATCTCTGTGAGTTCGAGGCCAGCCTGGTCTGCAGAGCAAGCTCCAGGACAGCCAGGGCTACACAGAGAAACCCTGTCTCAAAAAACCAAAAAGAAAGAAAGAGAGAGAGAGAGAGAGAGAGAGAGAGAGAGAGAGAGAGAGAGAGAGAGAGAGAGAGAGAGAGAGAGAAAGAGAAAGAAAGAACCTCCCCACACGGGAAAGACATTCGCTTTAAGGTGGCTGAAACCCTGGCCCCAGGGAAATGGCATCAGGGAGGCCATTACGTCATGCAGTTGCTGGAGTGACAAATGTGAACTACCTGATATGGGTATGAACAGACACACGGGACACTGTAAGCCATCGGAAATATCCAGACTTGATGTCCCCAAGTAATAAGGCATGTAGGTGCAGGAAGCCACAATGTGGCTCAAGTCCAAAGGCGTCCGTGGGAGCGGAGGAGTGAGACGAGAGGGCAGGATGGCAGCACTAGAGTACAAACCCCGACAAGTTCCCCTGTGGCCTGGGCACAGACCGACAGTGGCGCCAACACTGTGCCCAAGATGACAGGCAGGACAGACTCGGGTCCCCACCTCAGAGTCCCCACCACAGGTGGCCATCTTCACAAGTCAAAGCTCACATTCTCTCTAGAACTGGGTGGAGGTGATAGTCTGAAGCTCTATGGAAAGTTTTATCTCAAATTAACTCTTGGGGGCTGGAGAGATGGCTCAGCAGCTAAGAGCACTTACTGTTCTTGCGGAGGACCCAGGTACCCACACTGGGTGGCTCGCTACAGCCAGTAACTCCAGCTCCAGGGGATACCATACCCTCTCCGAGCTCCGTGGGTACCCACAGATACACACACAAATAATATACCTTACTAAGAGAAAGTAAATTCATGGGCAGGTCAGCAGGATGGTTTAGAAGGTAAAATCTCTCGCAGCCAAGGCTGATGGCCTGCGTTCCAGTCCTGGGACCCACATGGTGGCAGAAGAGAAGTGGCACCCACACACACACTACATACATACTCATATTCAGACACCACACACAAACACCACACACAACACACACACAACACACACACACACACACACACACACACACACACACACACACACACACACCAGTGTGTTTTCCAAACTTCTTGTTTTGCTCTATTTTAGTTTTTGAGACGACAGTTTCACACTGTGCCCCACTAGCCTCAAACTCATAGTGATCCTCCTGCCTCTGCCCTGCTTTCTAATACTCTAGTTGTGTCATAACAAAAGAAATATGTTTAGTGCAAAAAAACACCAAAGAGGCAGACATTAGCATAAGTTATTAGAACGGTTCCGTTTTCAGCAGCACTGGTGATTCAAGCCTGTAATCCCAGCATTTGGGAGGCTAAGGCAGGAGGGTTACAGGTTCAAAGCCTGCCTGGGAAACTGTGCGTGCAAGGCCAGCCTGGCTGTGTTAGGGAGACCTTGCCCAGATAAAAAGTGACAACAGTATTAGGGATATATCCTCATGCCAGAGTGCTTTCTTGCATGTGTAAAGACCCTAGAATCAATTCTACTAACACATACACACACACACACACGCACACACACACGCACACGCACACACGTGCGTGCTTTCCTCTTACAATCTCTCACACTATTTTTGACAACAGGCTATTGTTTTAGTTGCAAAGAGAAGTTACCACCAAGGGCTCTGATTACTGCCCACCCTTTTTAGGACAGGGTCTCAATGTGTAATCCTGGCTATCTTGGAACTCGCTCTGTAGACCAGGCTAGCCTCAAACTCACAGAGATCTGTCTTCTTGCTGTGGGATATCTTTCTGTACGCTGTGAATATGTGTTGCTCTGGCTGGTTGATAAATAAAGCTGCATTGGCCTGTGGCAGGGCAGGGTAAGGTTAGGTGGTACATTCGAACTGGGGATGAGATGAAGGGTGGAGTCGGGGGAGACGCCAGCCCACTGCCGAAGGAACATGCCAGCAGACCAGGAACGCCACGGCCATGTGGCAACAAATAGATGAACAGAAATGGGTTGAATTAAGGTGGAAGAACTAGCTACCAAGAAGCCTGACCCACAGGCCATACAGTCTGTAAGTAATATAAGCCTCAGTGTGTTTACTTGGGACTAAGTGGCTGCAGGATGCCAGAGGGAGAAATTTGTCCCCGCTGCAGGGCTGGGCAGGACCAGAGAAACCTTCCGTTTATATCTTCTCTGCCTCTAGAGTGCTGGGATCAAAGGTTTGTGACACAACACTTGCCTTTTCTATCCTATTATTTATCTCATTAAAAATTTGTTCATAAAGGGCCAGCAGGACAGCTTTGAGGGGAAAGGCACCTGCTGCCAACCTGAAGACCTCAGTCCCCAGGACTCACATGGTGTAAAAAGAGAATCAACTCCCACAAGTGGTCCTCTGGCTTTCCTATGCATGCTACGGCACATGAGCACCCACATACAAACACACACACACACACACACAGCACATCTTTTTTAATTTAAGGTGTATTATTTTACGTGTATGAGTGTTTTGCCTGCATGTATATCTGTGTACCATGTGCATGTCTAGTGCCTGTGTGGGTGAGATGAAGGAGTCAGGTCTCCATGGGACTGGAATTACAGGTGACTGTGAGCTGCCATGTGGGTGCTGGGAACCAAACCCAGGTTCTCTGCAGGAGTGGCCAGTGTTCTTAACCCTGAGCCATCTCTCTAGCCCCACAAAGTAATTTTTTAATGTAAAAAAAATTGTTCCTATATTCACTACATGTGTGGAGGCGATCACCATTAGAGAAGGCACAGAAACGCAGCATCACGCTGCCCACCTGCGGTCCATGTACAACACACACATTAGCCGGGGGAGAAACACTAGAAAAACCCAGCTCTGTATCCCACAATGATTCAAAATCTTGAGACCCCTTCAAGAGCTGCATGCAGAGCCAGGGCCACAGAGACATCGTGGGAGCTACCCTCTGCTACACAACCATCCTCACCCACTGAGAGCAGCATCCAGAAGTTCTCCAGCATCACGTCTCGGTACAGCTTCCTCTGGGCAGCGTCCAGCAGCCCCAGCTCCTCCTCACTGAAGACCACGGCCACATCCTTGAATGTTACTGCCTCCTATAATACCAAACACATGCCCCCTAAATCTTGCAACAAAGGGCAGCTGAGGCTGGGATGGGGCAGTGTGCTGGTATTGTGTTCCCCAAAATATTGTGCACACTAATAAACTTATCTGGGGTCAGAGAACAGACAGTCACTAGATACAGAGGCTAGAAAATGGTGGCACTCACACCTCTAATCCTAGTATTCCAGAGGCAGAAATCCCTCTGGATCTCTGTGAGTTCAAGGCCACATTGGAAACAGCCAGGCATGGTGACTCACACCTTTAATCCCAAGAAGTGAGCCTTTAATCCCAGGGAGTGATGGCAAAAACAGAAAGATATATAAGGCGTGAAGACCAGAAACTAGAAGCTTTTAGCTGGTTAAGCTTTTAGGCTTTGGAGCAGCACAGTTCAGCTGAGACCCATTTGGATGAGGACTCAGAGGCATCCAGTCTGAGGAAACGGGATCAGCTGAGGAACTGGCGAGGTGAGGTGGCTGTGGCTTGTTCTGTTTCTCTGATCTTCCAGCGTTCACCCCAATACCTGGCTTCAGGTTTGATTTTATTAATAAGACCTTCTAAGATTCCCGCTACATCGCAGGGTCATGGAGTACCTGCCTGGCATCCACCACGTCCTTCCTGTGTCCCCCACCCGCAGCACCACAGACATGGGGGTGGGTACAATGCCCCATGCCAGCACATGGGAGGCTGAGACAGGAGGGTGACTTGTCAGTTGGAAGCCATACTGAGTTCCAGGACAGGATGGAACCCTGTCTCAGAAACATAAAACTAACAAAAAGACCACTTTTTACATAGCGTTCAATTGTCCATTTTCTTATACGTTAAAACTGCAACATCAACAAATACGCAATTTTAAAATTATAATGTATGAGGCAGACTTCTCATTTTTTTTTCCTGCTCCGGAACAGTCCTTCTGTACACTGTGAATATGTATTACTCTCATTGGTTAATAAGAAGGTGACAGGCCAGTAGCCAGATAGGAAGTATAGGCAGGACAGCCAGACACAGAGGAGAGACACCAGTCGGCTGCTGAGCAAGCAGGACACATAGAAAATGAGGTAACAACCCATGAGCCATGTGGTGAGGCACAGATAAGAAATATGAGTTAAATGTAAGAGTTAGCAAGTAACAAGCCTGAGCTATCGGCCGAGCATTTGTAAGTAATACTAAGCCTCTGTGTCAGTTATTTGGGAGCAGGTGATTGGGCCAGAAAAACTCCACCTACATTTTTCTATTGTATTCTTTCCCTCAAATCCATATAAAGACCCGTGGTTCTTTATGCCATAGGCAACAGTGAACCCATAACAAAAACCTGGGCTAGCAAGAGGCAGCTCGGTGGGTGAAGGCATTTGCCATCAAGCCAGGCATCCTAAGTTCACTTCCTGGGAGCCACATCGTAGAAGGAGAGAACTGACTCCTACAGTTGTTCTCTGACCTCCACATGTGTGCTGTGGTATGCACGTGAGTACACACATATACTCAAAACAGATGTTAAAAAAATCCTAATATAAATAAGTGAAAAAACAACGTGATATTTGTATTTACTTCGTGATTAGGTTTTTTCTTTTTTCTTTTTTTTGGTTTTTTGAGACAGGGTTTCTCTGTGTTGCTTTGGAGCCTGTCCTGGATCTCGCTCTACAGACCAGGAGGCTGCCCTCAAACTCACAGAGATCTGCCTGCCTCTGCCTCCCGAGTACAAGGATTGAAGGCATGTGCCACCATGCTTAGCTGTAAAATAATATATTTTCATATGTTTACTAACTATGTTTATTTCCTCTCTGTGGTTTTGTTGTTGTTGATTTTTCGAGACAGGATTTCTCTGTGTAATGGCCCTGGCTGTCCTGGAACTCACTCTGTAGACCATACTGGCCTTGAACCACAGAGATCCGTCTGGCTCCGCCTCCTGAGTGCTGGGGACTCAAGGTGTGTGCCACCTGGCTCTGCTCCTCTCTGTATTTTATAATTTTCTTTTGAGACAGGATCTTGTAGCTTAGGCTGGCCTCAAATTTGATGTAGCCAAGGATGACCCTGCACTACTCTAAGCCTCCTGCCTCTACTTCCCGAGTGTTGGGATCACAGTTGTGTGTGACACCATGACTGGTGTGTGTGGTGCTGGGGATTGAACCCGGGGCCTTACGCATGCAAGGCAAGCACTCTCTCCATCGGGCTAGGTCCCTAGCCCCATGTTCAGTAGGCTCTCTTCGGCACTTTGCCTGTCCTTCTAGTTAACCAGTGTGATAGCTTACGGCTATGTGAAATTCTATCGACAACGTTAAGCTCAGTGGGTGTTGGTTCTGCACTGCCCTGGATCAAAGCCAGGTCGCTGAACATTCGAGGCAAGTGCTCTGCCCAAGCTCATTTCCAGCCCGTATTGCCATTCCTTAGCATCCATGTGGTGGACATTCTCCTTCTTACTCTTGTCTAGCTCTGTGTATAGCAGTGTCCCAACCTGAACGATGCTGTCATGGGCTTTTCTAGTCTGTGACTGTTGATCCAATCATATTGTATTTTTATTATTTTTTAAAAACACCTTTATTATTTCTGATTATGTGTATGTGGGCCGGGCATGTGCATGTGAGTGCAAGTGTCCTCAGAGGCCAAAAGAGGGCAGCAGAGTCCAGGGAGCGAGTTACAGGCTGTTGTGAGTCACACGATACAGGTGCTGGGATCCCAACTTGGGTGCCCTGGAAGAGCAGCCAGTGCTTTTGACCGCTGAGCCCTTCTTTATTATTTTATTCATCCCATTATAAAGTGATAAAAGTTAAAGTGACACTAAAACACATGGTGACTAACATCTGGCATCCGAGGGCTTCTCAAATGTCCTCTGACCTCCACATGCACACCACACTGTGGCACAGTGCACCTGTCTACAGCCACGCCCACACAACAAATAAACCAATAAATGTAAGAGAGAGAATTAAAAAAAAACCCAAAAACATAGAACAGTCAGTACAACTCACCTTGAACTTGGTCATCCTGTCCTCCCGGGGAACGGCTGCATCTTAGGAAGGGGTAACGATGGGAGAGAAAAAAAGCCATGAGCGTCTGGCCAGGTTCTGACTAGCTCCCACGGCAGCGTGCTATGCATGGCAGTTGTGCTGCTTCCTGGGGAGGCTGATGTAGACAGCGCTCACCCTGCAGCCGGGAGCCCCTGGCCAGGAGCGACCCGCCCAGTACAGAACCGACAGTCTCCTCTCGGCCTTTCATACCGGCACGGTGGAGAAGGGCTGTCCAGCCGGTGCTCTAGGAATCAGGCTGTGCCCTGGGCCAGCTCCTCAAAGACACGAGGTTTTGCAAACTCACTAAACTGAAGGGAGAGCCATGGAAGACTTTGCCATGGAAACAGAGACAACTGAATAAAGTCCCCGCCTCTGGGAAACGTATGCAGCCGCATTTTGATAATCAACATAATTAAACTTAACAAACTACAGGAAAATCATCTTTGCCAGGCAGAAACAACAACTTGGCTTGATGTTACACATCTGCAGTTCTGGCACTCAGGAGAGACTGAGGCAGGAGGACTGCTATCAGTTCAAGTTGGCCTGGATTACACAGGGAGACCCTATCTCAAAAGTCACCATAAAGAGCTAGAAACGTGCTATTGTTTGGCACACCAGGGGCCCCGAGTAGCCCAAGCACGCTGGCACACTGCTCCACGAAGGTTCCTCACACATACCTGCAGAGAAGCTGCTGTGTGACCTCGGTCCCAACACCTAAACCGCTGTGCACATCCTCAGCTACAAAAGGGACAGAGACAGAGAGTCGGTCCTACGATTATGACGGGGAGGAAATGAACACACACAGGCAGCACCGTGACGAGGTACCTGGTGTGTTAGGGCCTTCTCACCAACAAAGATGTCTACTGTTGCACCCATGAACACGTGAGGTCAGAGGCAGGTGGGGTCCCTGAGCCCAGCTTCATCTCGCATCCAGCATGCCAAGCCTCGTCTCACTGTTGTTTCTGATGACGACAATAGATGGACAGGAAGAGGGAGGGGGGGGGGGGAGGGAGGGATCGCTGACTGACAGGGCGGAGACGGGTCAGAGGGGCAGGAGCTGCTCCCAGGCAACCTAAACTGGTGTCAGCGCTCTCATCTGAAGGCACCAGGATGAGTCGCGGTCCCAAGCAGCCATCACCTTGACTACGGATGGACAGACCACCCACAAGATAGGAAGAGTTAGCTATGACGGAGAAGGGACACCCCGTAACAAATCAGGGGTCCCCTGGGGCAATGCTAGCCATTAACTATGTATCAAGCCACTTTTAGTGATCTGAGTCAAAACCAGGATAGGGAGACCCAGCACGGCTGCTTAATTATGTACACATTTGCCCTGACTCTTCCTTATTATTTATTTAATTACAGTAATCTAGAGCAACTGTTCTCAACCTGTGGGTCATGACCCTGTGTGCTGTGGGATGTCTTTCTGTACGCTGTGAATATGGTTTATTACCATTGGTTAATAAACAGACTGCTTTGGCCTATAGCAAGGCAGGATAGAGTAAGGTGGGAAATCCAAGCAGAGAGACAGGGAGAAAGAGGGCGGAGTCGAGCCATCCAGCCACCCAAGGAGCAACACGCCAGCAGAGCAGTAATACCATGGCCACGTAGCAATACATCGATTAACAGAAATGGGTTAATTTAAGATGTAAGAGCTAGCTAGTAATAAGCCTGAGCCACAGGTCAAACAGTCTGTAATTAATATTAAGCCTCTGAGTCAATTATTTGGGAAGTGGCTGCAGGACCAGGGTGGGACAGAAAAGCCTCCATCAAGAATCCGGTGTATCAGATATTTACATTATGATTCATAATAGTAGCAAATTACAGTTACAAAGTAGAGACGAAATAATTTTATGGTTGGGGGTCACCACAACACGAGGGACCGTATTAAAGGGTCCCAGCAACAGGAAACTGAGAACCGCTGACCTAGGGTATGTGTGCAGGGCACAGGTGTGGCCACCAGAGCATCTGCTGCACGAGTCGGCTCTCTCCTTCCACCATGTACGTTCTGGGGGTTGAACATGGGTCGTCAGGCTTGGCAGCAAGCACTTTTACCTGCCGCGCCATCTTGCAGGCCCCTGTTCCCCTATTTCACCTAAAGTTCAGGTCAGTACCATGAAGTCAGACCAGGGGCTCACTGGACCCCAATGCAGCCACTATGGTTCAGTCTCTTCTCTACTCTTCACCACTACTTCTGTCTTTGGTTGGACTGGGCAGGCGACTGAGCCTAGACTATTGGGGTTTCCTAAGGACTTTGGCCCTAAATCTCTGGTTATTATTCCAGGCAATCCTATGTCTTGATGAGAATATATCCAGAAAGCTATGAACCTAGACCATGGACCTGGGCTGTGGAAGTCCCGGGCCAACCTTGAAGCCCTAATTTATCCACCCTATCTCAAGCCCTTCATCACTAAAATAAGAAAAATAAGCACGGCGTGGTGACATGCATCTTCAATCCCATCACTCAGGAAGGAGAGTTGGGTAACTCTCTGAGTTCAGAGGCCAGCCTGGCCTACATGGGGGGGGGGGGGGGGGGGGGGTCCCAGGACAGCCAGGGCTACACAGAGAAACCCTGTTTCAAAAAAAGATATTGCCTAAAAGCTAACGAACCAAATCACGCTGGCAACACATGTAACTCCCTCACCAAGGGGCCCACATGCAGCAGACACTGCTCAGTGTCTGGAGCCCTGTTCAGTGAAGTCCAGTTCGGCGGCTCTCTTCCCTCCCCCGGTCTCTCTGCCTCTCTTTCTCTCTCTCCTAATAAAGCTCTAGAAAGGTAACCAGGGCTCGTCATTCTTCCGACACCACAACATCCTGCGCTCTCTTTCGTGGGCGTGGCCGCCGCTCTGCGGGATGGAGGGAGGGAGGCTCACTGGCCGCCCTGCGCTCCCGCCCCGCCAGCCTGCAGCCGACTCCCCGGCCGCCGCCCCCTGCAAACCTCCAGATCCAGGGGGGTCAGTCGAGGAAGCTGCGGGAGAGAGGAGACTCACCCGAGAACACCGGGAGCGGATGCTAACTGAAACCACCACTTCCCAGACCACTTCGCATCAGCCCGCTCTGCCAAACCACGTGCAACAATCAGAGAAGTTGAACTACACTTCCCAGAATGCTCCACGACCGCCAGGCCTCGGCAGAGGAGCGCCCAGGGACAGAGATTCCGGACTACACTTCCCAGAAGCCTCCGCATCAGCGCGCCCACGTAGAAGCGGGCGGGACACTGTGGAATAGCTGAGCTACACTTCCGGTAATGGGTGAGGAAACCCGGTCGTGGACTCGCTCTATGGAGTGTGGCAACTCTGTGGAGTGTGTGCCTGCCACGCAGGTATTTCTATAGCCTTCCGCGGAAATTCCTATTTGATCTGCGAGACACTGGTCCGCACTATGTAACCCAGACTGAACTCACGGTGGTCCTCCTGTCTCAGCCTTCCCCATTCTCAAGTGCTGGGCTAACTGGCGTGTGCCAGGCTGCCTTTGAAGTTGACACGACCCACAGGATCCCGGAGGAAAAGTTATAGTCTTCACCTCATGGGCGGTAATTTGGCCCTAACGTTGTTCTCATATACCTGAGTCCTAAACGAAAATAGTCCCAGACAGCACATCGGGCAGTTTGGTGCGGGAGAGCTAACCGGTGAGGAGATAGAATCTTCAAGGAATTACCGGGGAATAGGATAATGGTTTGTGCAATGTGATACTATGATACTAAAACGGATAAAGAATAAGCAAGGCAGAATGTATGTAAACATAGGCCTGATGTACACTTCAGCAGGTACAAAACGGTATATTTTATTTTGAAGGGCTTTTATATTTTTCTAATTGTCCGGATCTTTTACCTACATTTACTGGAATCTCCGTCTTTCCCCCTCAACATTTGTGTATTATATATCCCTAAAATTATGTTCTGTTTTCTTTTTAATTTTTTACAATGAAAAAAATGTTGAAATGTTTTTGTTTTGGTTCGGTTTGGTTTGGTTTTGGTTTTTCGAGACAGGGTTTCTCTATGGAGCTTTGCGCCTTTCCTGGAACTCACTTGGTAGCCCAGGTTGGCCTCGAACTCACAGAGATCCTCCTGGCTCTGCCTCCCGAGTGCTGGGATTAAAGGCGTGAAATGTTATTTTTTTAAAAACCTTCTTAGACACCACACACACACACACACACACACACACACACACACACACACACACACACACACACACCAGGCCAAGCATGGTAGCATAGGCCTTTAATTCTAGTTAGAAATTCCAGGCTGGTCACTGGAATTAGAAGCTAGAAGCTAGTCTTTTCTGTAGAGTGAGGCCCTGTCTCTAAAGGGGGAGTGGGACACATGTTCTGTGACCAGTCAGGCAGTGAAAGTCCAACACTTACTTGTCTCATGTGGCTTTTGGTGGCAAAAATTCTTTTAGATTGAAAAAAAAAAAGATGCCAGGCATATCTCTTGAATTTGAGGCCAGCCTGGGCTATATATTGAGTTCCAGGCCAGCCCAGGCTACATAGTGAGACCCTGTCTCTAAAAGAAAAGACAACCTTATTTTAAAGTCACTTGTTCTATCCAGCCAATTTTGTAAGCATGGTCTTCCTCAAATATCAGAAATGTTCTTATTTATAGGAAACCTGAAATTGTGTTAAGCCAGAACCAGAGGTGACGTGAAAGTATTTGACCAAAACCTGCACTGTACCTCCTTCACATCCAGACAGATCTGCCCACCACATCACAGCAGCATGTGGCCCAGCCTCCTCTTAACCCTCCTGATGGGCTGCCCTTTCCAAAACACAAGCACACTGATGATTCATATTCTCAGTCTCCCTCCCCCTCCCCTGCTGTGGGATGGTCTGTATGTCAAATGTGTTGCTGATTGGTCAATAAATAAATCACTGATTGGCCCGTGGCCAGGCAGGAAGTATAGGCGGGACAAGGAGGAGAATAGAGCTGGGAAGTGGAAGGCTGAGTCAGAGAGACACTGCCAGCCGCCATGATGAGAAACAGCATGCGAAGATGCCGGTAAGCCACGAGCCATGTGGCAAGGTATAGATTAATGGAAATGGATTAATTTAAGCTGTAAGAACAGTTAGCAAGAAGCCTGCCACGGCCATACAGTTGTAACCAATGTAAGTCTCTGTGTTTACTTGGTCGGGTCTGAGTGGCTGTGGGACTGGCAGGTGAGAGAGATTTGTCCTGACTGTGGGCCAGGCAGGAAAACTCTAGCTACACTCCCCTTTCTCTCCCCACTGTCTCCTGAATCTTGTAATTTCAATTCACAGGATGAAACTTTTTTTTTTTTAAATTATCCCAAAGGACCACCGTCAAAAGTTTTTTCATCCAAACCAAATCTCGGAGTATATGTGTGGCACAGTGGGGATGCTGTAACAGGCACACAAAGCAGCCAGAAAAAGAATCGTTTTCACACGATAGGATTGTCCACAGGGAAAAGCCCAAGAAACCCATAAAGAGCTGCTTCAACCATCAAGGCAGCCAAGACTGCAGCATACAAGCCTAATATAAAACAGGCCACTGGAGTTTGACATATGAGCAGTGAACAACTGGAATCTGATGTTAGAAAAATAATACTTAATTTAGCACAAAAATAATGTGGGATACTTGTCCAAAAACTGAATAAAATATGTGCCAAATCTCTATGCTGAGAACTGCACATCTCTGTTGCAGGAAACCCAGAGTCCTGGGCAGCCATATCGATTGCTGCAACAGTCCATGTTGCTAAGATGGCAATGTTCTGGTCCCAAACAAAACCAGAGTTTACTGGTTAAAAAAAAAAAAAAAAACCACAAAGCTGATTCTAAAAGTTCCTGAAAATCAAACTAATGAAAGAAAACAGCGGAGCCAGAGACAAAAGCAGAGGCCAAACTGCAGATCTGAGAAGATGGCTGGGTTGCCCCCATGCATCATGAAGGAAACCCAGTATGTGTTGGCAGAACCAGTACCAGGCATTAAAGCAGAACCAGATGAAAG